AATAACAACAGTGGAACTTTAATTAGGACGCTGTCTTTCCGAAAGCTCTGTTCTTCACCTGAGGACGGCTGCTTGCGTTGTAGCCGAAATGTCGTGATAATTTTATTATGTTTTATTTTTATAATTTTATTATTTCCCTTCTACGTGACTTTACCGAAAGAACCAAGAATATAAAACAGTAGAACTGCTTATTGCGGCAGGCAAGTGATTCCTACTCAGGCGGTGCTCATCTCCCGTTTGCAACCCTGAGCCAGTAGTGGACATTCCGCATTCCTATGCCGGGGTTGAGTATATCCATTTTTGTAATGTTCTACTATATTAGCACTCACTTGACGATTTGTGCCACATTTTAACTGTCCAGGTCTCGTAGAATACCTTTAAATTTTACATCAGCTACTCACTTTGTCGTGATCGTCTATGTGCCATTGTATTCTAATTCGAGAAAGGGGCATAGTTGACACGACACCACACTATGACCCCTGCAATCCATTTCACCGTGTACATCACCATATGGACAATAACATCACTGGGCTGTGACCATACCCCCCCCCCCCACCGTGTGGCAGGTGGGCCCCACTCGGGTTCTCACTCACAGCGCTATCCCAATCGTCTTGAAACAGAATGAGGGGCAGGATCTTTGTCATCTTGTTGCTTGTTAGCCCACGCGTGCCTGCGTGCGCGACACGTGCCACTGCCAATGTCTGTGTTGTTTTGTGTGGCTGTGTGTGGCTGTGTGTTGCTTTGTGTGGCTGTGTGTGGCTGTGTGTGGCTTTGTGTGGCTGTGTGTGGCTGTGTGTTGTTTTGTGTGGCTGTGTGTGGCTGTGTGTTGCTTTGTGTAGCTGTGTGTGGCTGTGTGTTGCTTTGTGTAGCTGTGTGTGGCTGTGTGTTGTTGTGTGTGGCTGTGTGTGGCTGTGTGTTGCTTTATGTGGGTGTGTGTGGCTGTGTGTGGCTTTGTGTGGCTGTGTGTGGCTGTGTGTTGCTTTGTGTGGCTGTGTGTGGCTGTGTGTTGCTTTGTGTGGCTGTGTGTGGCTGTGTGTGGCTTTGTGTGACTGTGTGTGGCTGTGTGTGGCTTTGTGTGGCTGTGTGTGGCTGTGTGTTGCTTTGTGTAGCTGTGTGTGGCTGTGTGTTGCTTTGTGTGGCTGTGTGCGCGCCGAGTAACGCGGCAACGCTCGCGTCAGGCGCCCGAGCACGGCGAACGGAACCTTCCTCAACGCCGAGAGACTGGGTTTTGTATTTTTCTAAACCTGCATTAAATTTAATTACGCCGCACTGTTACGCTAAGAAATTAAAGAAAGTTGCTGCAACGTGCACTGGAGTCTGCCGTAGTCGGCAAAAAGGTGGGAGGGGGGGATCCCTGGCGTGGGTGCACGAAATCATTTCACTTGAAATCATTTCGGTTTTCCATTTCCCCCTTTTCTTTGGAATCGAGTTTTGAACTTTTCACCATTACAAGTTTAATGGCCTAGAGAAAACAGCCATTACTGTGTTTGTGCCGGGCCCCCCCCACGCTCGACGGCGCGCTGACCCCCGCACTGACCCCCGCGCTCGCCCAAAAACCTCGGCCGAACCCGCCCGCCCGCCAATCGCGGGGACCTTTACATCGTAAATGAGTTTTAATGTGAGCAGCTGCGCGTTCCCTTCGTGTAACATTTAGACGTGGCGCGGCACGGGAAGTGCGGCTTGCAGATCCGTGAAACGACGTCGTGTGCTCAGAGGTCAAGTGATTTATCGTGTCATGCGTTGTTGTCATCTGCGCTACGATGTGTTTTTTTTCTTTATGTCCGCCAAGTACATTTTGATCACGGAAACAACATTCCCATTGTGTGTGTCACACGAGCTGCGAGTCGGAGGAAACTGTAGCACGCAGAGGAACTGGACTCCCGCAATCAAATAACACAAACCCCGCAAACAGACCAGCAGTGGCATCGCACTCCCACCCCTTGGTGATCCTATTGCTCACCTGGTGTGGGGGTGGGGGGTCATGTACACAGGATCCAACGTTTCTGGACTAAAGGTAAGTTACGACTTATTGAGAATGGGCTGTGGTACATAAAATATCCATTTCACAGCGCCTTGCAATGCATTGCTGGATTTTCCCATTAAGCTAAGATTCATTGGTAACGTCCCCTCCTGATTATACACCTAACCATACAACACTGCGGTATTAACCTACTGCTTTGTGAAGCTCCTCTACGAGTCGTTCCGTAAGCAGGTCTTGTGATCCAATGCTATTGTGAACGAGAGCAAGGGGTATTGTGGGTGTTATTGGCGCTGCGCCAGGGAGAGTATGATCTGTGACATCATCCACACGTGTGCCACGTGGTATTTAAAGATGGGGCTCCTGCATCGCCACCCGCGCATCGGTAGGAATTGAGAATGTGGAGGCAGTAGGAGGCTGACAGGAGGTCAATATACTTATTGCAACAGCAGCGTGGGTTCTTAACATCCTACTTTAGGAAAGTAGAGTGGTTAGCGTCGATGTTTAAGAGAAAGGGGGCTTCCGGAGTGTGAATACGATGCATAACAAATGTGCTATGAACTTGAAGCGGCTTGGAATTTTGAAATAGAATGTGGTGTGAAAACACTGGAGGTGTCATCAGATAGAGGGGAGGTTGTGATGGGTGGGGACATAAGTAGGACAGAGGGGGTCAGAGGTCACTGAGTGTACACTCAGGGGGCACTGTGACCTGCACTGACTGAGTGGACACGCAGGGGTCACGGTGACCTGCACTGGCTGAGTGGACACTCAGGTGTTGGTTACCAAGTGGAAGGCCTTAAGCTCAATGGTGGCACGGATGTAAATGCATGCATAGCCTCATGAGTCCATGTACAACGTGTAGTGCGAGGGTTTTAACCCATGTTACACATGTGTGTATGTATGTTGAACCTCTTTCGCACTGTACGTAGCCAACCGTGATAATTTGAGGTGCGAGAAAGATACTTTACTTGCATCATACTAGTCTGCAGTTTATGCAATGCTGCACATTACCTACATTGTGAACGTGACATAAAAGTTAAAAGAAAGCCTTCACATCACAATATTGTGAACCACTGGACTTTTTGTTCAGCTGTACCTAAATGTATATGAGTTAAGGTGAATATAACTGTATTTGTTATTTTGTTCCCAATACTGCAGACACACAACATTTTTACATTTGTGATGGTCTTATCTGTGAGTTTGCACACAAACCCAGACTACCTGTCGTTTGTAAATGTGCAGGTAACAAGAATGGCAGGTTGAAAAGCGATGACCAGAGGCACAACAGGAGTCCTGCTGTAAAGTGAGCTGTCGTTGACTACATTAATTACCCTTTTATAATCTGACGCGAGAGAGAGCTAAGATGTGCGGTGGGTATCTTTGACCGAGGTTAACTCTGTTGGAATAACATACAATAATGGACGTTATTTGATCGGATGAAGGCTTTGTCTTGACTGGCCGTCCCCAATAAAAAGAATAAATGCGAGCAACCAACGCAGTTCCCAAAGCGGTTTGACAAAGGACACAACCATTGATGGATAGGGAGCCAAGCAAGAGAATGTGCACCAGCGGGCGGTTAAAGGGGAAATGGAGCAATGAATGTGGGGCACACGTGTGGGAGTGAGATGGATTACCGCTCCAAACGAGTAGAGGTGCTCGGATAATAATAGTAATAATAAGAATAACATATTTTCTATCGTCTCATTCATGCAAACTGCAACCCAAACAGATGAACAAAGAAGGCATTCTTCGTGCGGTGAAATGAGAATGGTCAATATTGATGATGACAACCAAAATAAAACTCGTTTCCATCATTTGTGGACATCCTAAAGGCTGCAATAATGACAACTATCCCAGCACGGGCCGTGCCCTGGACTCTGTGCGCCAATGGGCCATTGCTCGCTCCTAATGGGCTCCCTCTCTGCTCCACTAAGGTCAGCTCACCCGTACAAGCGAGGTGAATTGTGAAGTCCACGTGAATGCACACAGGCAGACGAGCGCATACACACGCACACACGTGCGCGCACAATCAGCACTGGCATGGTGAGAGGACAGGCGACGTGAAGAGCGCAGGGGACGTTCTGCGTGCGGGTAAAGTGCAGCGGTTTCCTCTGCAAAGTCAAAGAAGTCGCATGCTCTGATTTCGCCCTCACAATACAAAATCACTCTAAATGTATTTCATTTGACTCGGTGCTAAAATGTGCATGTGTTGGTACGGGAGGGAAAAGGAAGAGGAACCAAACGCAGGCATTGACCCTGAGCCCTTAAAACGCTAAGGGCTCCTTGGTCTGGCTCTATGGGAGTTGAGCATGAACACAGAACTCGCAATATGGTAGAGGTGCCCCATGTGTGTGTGTTGAACTTCTTCGCACCGTATGTAGCCAACCGTGCTCAACGGAGGTGTGGGAGGAGGACGACATACTGACTCTTATCCTTAGGAATTAACAATCAACCATAAACATCCTATCGGTGGCTTTGGCTCAGAGCTTTTGGAGTATCCCTCTCAGTACAACTGCGAAAGGTGAATGAGACTCCAGCTACAGTCAAATAAAAACATACATTCTGAGAACTCTCCCTCAAACCTTCATAATAATTTGTTTTCTTTTCAAATGCTTCATCTGAAACATTTTAAAGGGCACTCCCAGCGGCAGCTGTCCCCGTGCGGCACAGGGTCACTCAGCACCTGGCCTGCAAGCGGACATGAGTCTGACAGCAGGGGGCGATGATTGCGTCTGCGTGCAATCCCAACCGACTCATTTGCGGGTAATTTTTCTAATTTGGAAAATTTGGACCCCGACGCCGTCACGCGATGGCCTCGTCATTCGAATGGCATCAGGGGCTCTTTCAAATCCACTGTGAAGCAGAGGGCCGCGTAACTTATGGTTACCGCGCACGCAACGATGACCAGGGTGGCCTGCCACGGCCGAACCGGCAACTTCGGCAACGAGCCGCGAACGCACGCACCGCGGCCGCCCCCCCCCCCCCCCAGCCCTTCAGCCCCCAACAGCCGAGCGACGTCCACCTGCAAGGTGGCGGCCTCCCCCAGCGCCTCGGCCTGCTCCTGCGCACGCTCCAAGAAGTCGCGGAGGCGCGCGGCCGCGTGCCCGCGCACGGTGCCGCGCAGCGCGGCCGCCCCGTCCCGCACGGCGGCGCAGAAGCGGTAGCGCGGCAGGGTGGGCAGGCAGCTCTCCAGCTGCTGCAGCGTGCGCAGGGCCGGGTAGAACCTGCGCGCAGCGCGCCACGGTCGCAAAGTCACATGGTCACACGGGCTGTCCCCAGTCACACAGCCATGCGGTCACGTGGGCTGTCCCAGTCGCAAAGTCACACGGTCACGTGGGCTGCCCCAGTCACATTGTCACGTGGGCTACCCCCAGTCACATTGCCACGCGGTCACGTGGGCTGCCCCAGTCACATTGGCACGTGGTCACACGGGCTGCCCTCAGTCACATTGCCACGTGGTCACGTGGGCTGCCCCCAGTCACATTGCCACGCGGTCACGTGGGCTGCCGCGACGCACAGACGCAGCACGTGCGGTGGTGGTGCTGGCTCGCGAGGAGGGTTCCTCGCGAGAGATGTAGACGAGAGACGGAGTTGGATGAGAGAGGTGTATACTGTGCATCTAAAATAGCGATGAGATATACTGATTGGATTATTTCAATGTTTATTCGGTTTGGTTAATTTAGGTGTTTTCTATCATGTATTATGAGAACTGAGAAGCTATGCCCTTAATAAGACGCCGAGATAAGGGAAGGCTTAGGAATTCCTAGACACAAAGGAGACATTCGTGGTTAGTTCTCCGCTGCGGTGTCGATGCACACCCACAGGCAGAGATCTCCAAATGACCTTTCCATCCTCTGCTAATAACAAGCGAGGCCACACCTCACACGCAACAGCGTGCCGCGCCAACGCATCACGAGAAAGCTTCAACAGTCACAGGCAAAGTATCCACTCCAGCCGCTGCAGCAGTGAATTGGGGCGGCGCGTGGCTGGATCCTCTGGCGTAGGCAGTCGCTGCGAGTCCGCCGTGACTAATATGTGGCTGCGCTGTAGCAGGGAGAGGAAGGGCGTGGGGCTTGGTGGGTGTGGGAGAAAGAGGGAAGACGTGGAGGGGGGGGGGTGCCGATGGGGGTTCATGTTTCAGGTTGTAGTCGACGACCAAAGCAAACAGGCAGAGTGGAGGCGCTGCGGTGGCGGCGCTGGGACTCGAGACGTCTCAGCTGCACCTGGCCACGCCGCTCACCGCCAGGGCCGCATTTCTCACGCGCCGAGCGGCAGCGCCAATCCACCGGGAGACGAAAATACTTTAATGACATTTTGTTCATTCTTTCGTGCAATTTTGGAAATTATGCAACGCAAATTCCTCGCACGTTTTCTCGAATTAAAATATTCCAAAGGGGCGCCCCTTGCACCGTTTTCTGAAATGGATAAAGATGAATAATGACATTTTAAAATATCTTGGACGTAGAACTAACTGGTGGTTGGTTCTCCTCGTGAACTGACGAGCAGCAACACACAGCGCATTGCACAAGTGTGAAACGTTTTTATTGAAAGCTGATGGAGGCTGTGCACTTCAGGTCTGATCAGATTCAAATCCGATTCCGATATGATTATGCTTCACGCATATTTTCTCAGATCAAATTGCTTAGCGACAATATCTGATCCTGATGACTTTCATCATGAGAAATTAGTTGTTAAATACATGATTATTAAAATATCACATACAATGCCATACCTCTTAAATTAACAACACGCAAGTGTATATAACTACTTTTCAGTTTTGTATGTTTGGTGAACTTCATTCGCACCATACGTAGCCAACCGTGATAATCGCAGGTGCGGCTAAGAAGCAACGTCTCTGTTATCTGATGTTTACTAAGACACTTCTTTCTAAATAAAAAGCAAACTATCTTGTCCATCAGAAAATAAAGCGTATTGCTGTCATAGAATTTAAGAAAAGAGTCATTCAAAGTCTCCCTCCACTTGCATGCCACAAATGTAAACACAACTTGGCGCAGGAGAGCACGTGATCTCACGCGGGGACGGAGTGGGCTACAGAAGGCTGTTTTCACAATTTATTTTGTCCAAAGTCAACCAGTCACTTCCGGCGTGCAGGCCACGCCACGCACCACGGCCCTGCTCTGCACAAATATGAGAAGAAGAAGAAGTAGAGGAGTCGACGACAGACCAACTACCCACACAGCCAATTGCTCATTCCCGAGGTGGACACTTCTGTCACAACATGCACGGCAATTTGCTAAACTGGTTATGATTTACAGACGGTTAAACCAAACTGACGGGATGGGGGAATGCCAGTGGCACAGTGATCAGCGCACTGTGCTACGGACCTGGGAAGCTGTCGTTTTATTATGAATGTTACTCAACCAAACTTTGGTTAAAATTTTATATCTAGCGGAATCATTGAATTTAGGTATCGATCACTCAGCTGAGATGCGAATTATTGTTTTTTTCGTCCCAAAAAACGCACACGTCAACAACACTATATAATCGGCGACGTTCCAGGCATTGGCCCTTTGTCATAGCCACAAAAGCATCGAAGTGAAGGTTCTCAACGGCGCTGCTTCAATACTCCGACGTGGGCATCGGTCCCCTTGCCTCAGCCACCCACGGCTCTTCTCATCCCCATGCTATGTGGAGCTATTTGACCACCAGCGTTCACTTCATGAAGTAAACAGACATCTACACTCGTGGGAGTTATTTGCGAATGATCACATCAATCAAGCGATCGTGGATTGAACTCTAAAATACATGAATGTATTCAACTCGTATCCCACAGATCTCTTTCTGCTTCTATCCTCGCACCGCTCGACTGGGGAATTCGCTCTCCCATCGTCTCCTTTGCCCCCCAGCCTTCGTAGCCATGCTCAATGTAAGAAACGCGTTGAAACTCTTTGTCGATGGCAACCCTGGCGGTGCTAGTTGTCGCTGGCCATTGACGTTTTGAGCCTATGGGGTCTGTGCCCAGCCGCTGTGTTGAAGACAGAAACAATCAAACGCGCCTCGTCGCTGTCCCCACCTGATATTCACGACAAGCCCCAGGCTCTCAGACAGGAGGGGATCACGGGCCGGTGCAATGCAAGTCACGCTTCAACGTTGTAAACACGTTGAAGTGACGTCAGGTAACTTAGCAGTCGCGTCTAATAAATGACCAAATGCGATGCTCGTCATCGCCCCTGAAAGTCTCCTGCCTCTGTGACTGAATGCACAGTATGGGAAGGTATATCAGCAATGAGAGATAAATTATGTGTTTTCTTTGTCGGTATAAAACACGAAACAAGTGATTACATTTCTCTTCTTGGTTCTTTCGGTAAAGTCACGTAGAATGGAAATAATAAAATAATAAAAATAAAACATAATAAAATTATTCTCACGACGTTTCGGCCACAACGCAAGTAGCCGTCCTCAGGTGGAGAACAGGTCTATCGAGGAGACAGAGTCTGACTGTCTCTATTTCCATTCTACGTGACTTTACCGAAAGAACCAAGAAGATGAATCCCTGCAGTCACGAAAGCTTTAAATCGAAATTTAAGTGATTACATTTATTTACTAAATACAATTGAATAGTTTCAATGTTTCAAAACAACAATTCTCAAATATTGTACAGAAATTCCTTATAATTCAAAACAAATTTCACAAATCTGTTGTGTTCCAGCATTGAATTGTTTTTGTATATATAAGTATCTTCATCACAGTTTCCACACCTTGTATAAGTAAGTATACATTATTAATTACATTCAACCTCCATGCCCTTCTCCTCACGACACCCATGTCGACTCGGTAAAGGAGATAATGTCATATAGCAACCAATCAAAACCGGAACCCCGTGAATTTCGATGTTTATCAAAGTCGAGCAGTGCCATGACAGCAGCTGCTGGCCACTCGAGGTCAGCGGCAACTTTGGCACAGTCTGACACACAAAACTAGAACTCGGTCTTTCAACTGCTGCCTCCACAGTCACGAAAAAAACCGATTCCCCATCTTGCTGGCGCTGTCATCTCGGGCAGCTTTGCTGGGCCACGCAAACCCTCAGCACAGACACTGGGCACACATTCAGTCGGTCGGCAACACGAAGTCGGCTAGAGGCTGCCGACTGCTGGACTACCGAGGGGATTACGAGGTATGGACCTGAAAACTCAATCTCCCTGTACAAGCATTCGGGTAAACCGTATGGGTTGGCAGGTATGCGTATCTTTCTTTTCACATGATAGCAGGAGCGTGCAAATGTCATGGTATAACGTACCGCTTTGCTTCCATCTGTTGCTGCAGCTTGGCATAGGTCTCCAGCACTGCACGAACAACACAGTGCAGTGTGTTAATGAGGCTCTGCCGTGTACATACTGGCCGCAAATGTTACATGTGACCGTGTATTCTAGCAGCGATACTCATCAGACGGTGCAGTTGTTTGAGAACCCACACAACTAAGTGGAAAAGGTAAACATAGCAATGCAGCTGTATTAAAAGCGATATAAATAAAATACAAATTGTATACAATGTCATGATAATTTAATGAAAATACTTCAGACCAGCCTGTTCTTGCGACGTAGAGAACAGCGCCCTCTCGTTTATCATAGCAAGCGAGGAGGCAAAGTGCGACATGAGGCCCTTCTTTTAGTAATCCTACAACAAATCGTCAATCTATGGTATCTACATTTGTTTGTACACATGTAGATGTATATTGTGCAGTGGGAGGCTGTGTGAGAGAGGTACAGAGTGGCACAGCTCGACTCGACCGCAGAGAGCGGCCGCAGAGGTGGAGGTGCAGCGTGGCATGTGACACTGTGCTGGTGTGTGGCGCTGCAGATGCTGTGTGATCCGATGCTGCTGTGCGGTAGGGCTTGGAGATTGACGGGCGCTGTGTGGCACAGAGCTCTGTGTGGCACGGTGGGTTGGTTGTGTGGCACGGTTGGCTGTGTGGCACGGTTGGCTGTGTGGCACGGTGCGCTGTGTGGCACGGTGGGTTGGTTGTGTGGCATGGGGCTGTGTGTGGCACGGTTGGCTGTGTGCCACGGTGGGTTGGCCATGTGGCACTGTGCGCCGTGTGGCACAGGTGGTTTGGATGTGTGGCACGGGGCTGTGTGTGGCACGGTGGTTTGGATGTGTGGCACGGTGGGCTGTGTGGCACGGTGGGTTGGCTGTGTGGCACAGTGCGGTGTGTGGCACGGTGGGTACCTGGCAGACAGGCCGCGAGCTGCTCCAGAGTGCGCAAGACGTTTCTCTGCTGCCGGCGAGTGCGCACCAGCTCCCGCTTCATGTGCACCAACTCGCACGCACACGCATGGGACACACGTAGCGTGCACTCAACGTGTTGTTCCGTGTGCTGCGATCACATGCGAGGAATCCGCCCATAACAGTTGGGCATGATGAGGACATTCGTTACAAATATCCTACTTTGGGGTTATTCTTAACCAGACAGTTTGGTGCTCTAGGATCAGTTGGGAAGTATTCAATAATTACTAGAAATTAATGTATTATTGGTCCAGTTAATATGTTGGCAAAGAAAATGTACATTAATAAGGACAAACGGACTGTGGCAATCTGCAGGCCACTGCTTATATATAAATAGTACAGAATGTTCTAATGACTATTTTTTTACATAATCCTACTGAACCAAGGAGCAACCATGAGTGAGAAATAGCTTCGTCCAAAAGTTGTCTAAACACTCATGAATGGAGTTGACCAAACATCCCAGAATAGATCCACCGAGCTTGAGAAATATCTCGCACCAATTCTGGCTACCTTCCCACTTGTACGTGGCCTTGCGCGCCTCTGAATCACTCGCTCTCTGAGAGTGAACTAAAAACTGTGCATGTTACAAACTTGTCCACTTTTATTTTTCGTGTCTCATTAAAATCACACCTGTGAATCCTCAACACGAAGAACAGCTGACTCAAATATTTAAGAGATCATAATTCCTAGGTCATCTAAGCCCAACGTCATCATCCCTCCAGCGCCAGCAACGTGTGGGAAGTCAGCAGTTGTGGAGAGTTAAGAGTGGTTGTGCAATAGAGATATTGGTCCCTGCCGTAGGAATATAAAATTTCCACCATTAGCTCAAGACTGCCAATAGCTATAGACGTTACCAATGCGTGTTGTGCACAAGAGGACTTATTTTTTTAAACTAATATTTAAAAAAATAGATATGTACTGTCCATCTATCAATCCACCTCCCATCGCCGGTCTAATGAGAAGGTGACTGGGTCACGATGCTCGCAGCTCTGATCGTCATCTCCCTTCACCTCGTCTGGTCCTCAGCCTCACGGATCAGCTGGTTGTGATTTATGTCCATTCAGTCTGCGATATATTCTAAATGTGAACAAAGGTCTTACCTTTATACAATAATGCGTTTTATAAAACAAACTACGACTTACTAATTCACCGCTCGTTACATTAGTTATCCTTCTTTGAAAAATGCATGCAGTGGAATAGACCGGACATTTGGGTGGGTGACATGAGTTGTTTGTTAAACTTTGGGTGGGTTCTGTGTGTGGGCATCACGGCAGTGAGATCTCACCTCCCGTCCTGCCTCCTGCATCTTCTGGTTGGACTCCACCACGTGGTCCTGCAGTGGGGCAGACAGAAGAACAACATCCACGCACCAAGCAGCTCAGTGCATCCTCAATGAACAGATCATACAATATATATATATCTTATTCCGTACGGCCTCGTGAAGAGCAACTTGAAGATGTATATCCAAGTTTGAAAGCCACGCCAAATTGCATTTTGCACGAAGTTCATTTTATGTTCAGTTGGTAGGCGTGTATACTTGTTCCTGTAGCTCGTGGTGCAGTGGTCTGGAGAAGAGCCTTAGCCTTCTAGTTACTATTCAACGACATTGATGACAATAGCTCACGTTTGAGAAACAGTTGAGTTGTGCGCCTTTTGCCGTCATCTGGTCCAACACCATGCGAGACTAGGTTCTAAGAAAAGCTGTCTCGGGTGTGGACCAATCAATTTCAAGGACAGTGCATATCATTATCAGAGTTCTGCTTTTTTTGTTTGCATTTTTTAAAAAAGTCAATTATGGGATATCCAACTTACATTTACCTGCTAGTAGTCCCAGTGTAATATTACCTTCATGAGGGGTTCCACAGAGAAAAGCGAAGCATCACGTGAGGAAGCAACGAGGATGTGGAAACAGAGCTGTTGGCTGCTATCTATCAAGGGCCTGGTGCCGGCGATCACGATGTGTGTGCCTCTGAGTCCTCACTGTGAATGTGAGTTCCTACCCTCTGGATGAACCCTCATATCGTGAAAAGAATACTGCGCAAATGCCAACCCAAAATTTAAATGTATATTTTTGGAGCAATGAAGACTGAACTTCAAATAATCTTATTTGTTATAACACAAACACAAAAAAAATCCTTGCAGTGCCTGGGCACATGCTGCCATCTGCTGGTCAACTACATGTTATAAACAACTGAGATTTCGGGACCTTATTCTTCAAACTCTAAGAAGTTGATATTTCAAACGAGTAGCTTAACAGTGATTAAGAGGTGGTTTCCCGTGAGTCTAATATAATTTGAGTGTTCACTCATTTCAGCTTAAATCAACTCTGGAACCAGCAACAAATATATCAAATGATTGATACGTGTGAAGAGCCAATGTTTCCCAACAGGCGTGTGCGCCACCTTGTGTAGGGTTAAGAAGAGACTGTGGTTGAGGTCTCCAGCGGCGCTTCCGTTTTGCCATTCTCCGGAAGTAGTTGCCCCAATTGATTTTATTCCTCTGCCGAGTGCATTCTGAGAGGATGCTTTATCGCCTCATAATGGCACTTCTAATTGAAGAAACGGGATCAAATATATTTCCAAAGAATTCTAAGATAAAAAGTAATAATTTTGCACACACGTTTTCTATACCTGACGGTAGGCAGTTAGTGTTGTTTTTTTTGCACTGAACGTGAGTCTGTTTTTTTATGATCACGATTTCTGAACATAGACCCCCAAAGGCCCAAAAACGCCAAGCGGCCAGTAAAAAACGGCAGCCTTGAAGGTGTAATGGCGAAGCGTCGATGCACGAGTGTGTTGGTGTGCGCGCGCTTGCCTTCAGCTTGAGCGCGTGCGCTCGCACGCTCAACAGCTCAGTGATGCAATCCACAAAGCCCTGGTAGTGGAAGTTGCAGAGTTTCTCGATGTCGCGGTCGTGGCCCCGGATGCGCACATCCAGGCGAGACATGAGCTCCCCGCGGTCCTGGCCATCGTACACGGCCCTGCCGACACAGGGGACACCACACCCTTGCTAGGCGGAACTCACACAAACGCCATCGGTATAAGGGGTTTGTGTTTGCAAAACGTTTTATATGCCTTCTCCTTACTAATGTTCAATTGGGCTTGCAGGTGCCTGCTCTAGTTTGTACTTATTAATGCGTACTAGGGGTTATGCATTACTCGCGTGATTACTAATGTTTGTGTGCCGGTGCGCACAAATTGTTCTTATAATATTGCTTATTAAGGCTGCTGCACATGGTAAGACTTGCTAGGTCAAGGAAAAGATGCGGACCTGCAATTACTTGCACACTCCAAGACTGGCAGAAGGGCCCCCAATAGAGGGGGCAATAGAGAACTCGAGAGAGATAATATTTGGCCTACTCTTCCACGCGTACTCCATGGCACGACTTAGCACGAGGAGTTTCCAATTATGAGAAATAGTTCAAATTATGGCCAGGATGAACCCAGTGGTTCTTCCTTCAGGAAAGAGTATAATAAACATCATATCACCACTCTGTGGAAAGCGAACAACAGTTGTCCTGAAAATAAACTGGTACTCACCACGGGAATGTGTGATATCCACCAATGGTCTAGAGCATGCCAAACAATCATGGAATTGGCAAAACATCACTACCGAATTATTTCTTTTTCAAAACGAACTTTTCTGGATAAGCAAAGGGAAATATTGCTACTACTCGGCAGGATGGTAAAATGGTAACATAACAATGGTAACATAGCAACATCGCCTCCCCCCCATTGTGAAAACCTGGCAGGACCCTCCTGATAAAGAGTATTGAGCCTCAGCGAGGCTTTCCTGGACAAACGAGCAGAATAAAACAAACTATCAGTGGAGGAAAGCTCCGTCCAAAATACATTGGGCCATGCAAAGACGGTGCTATCAAACATCCACGCAACATCATAACCAAACTTTTAAATGCCACATCTTTTAAATATATGTATCATGTATACGAACACATTCCAAGACACATTTTATACATTTTGACTTCTAATGAATTAACATAATCAACAATCACGATCATGTAGTTGGAACATTCAGTCTCGCGAATTCCGTTGCAAGACAATTCTGCGAGGAATGTGTGGCCGATTCTTTTTTTGCGCGGTATTTTGGCATGCGGGTGGGGGGGGACTGGAATATTCACAACTCACAAGAGTCCAACTATCCCAACAATGTAGGGAAATTACCTACTTGTTGTACTGCCCATTGTCTGGCCACATGTGGATCTCTATATGATCCAACAAGCTGAACTCCTTGTCGCTGGGTTACTCGTGTGCATCGCTCCCACAACCCGGCATGAACTAGCAGCCGTTGCAGTGTACACAGTGGAGCGTGAATGAAACTGCCGCTGTCCCTGGTGCTGAAGTGGTCGCGGGCACGACCCAGTCAAGATCACAGTCTACATGGAGGCTGGGAGAGCAGAAAAGCTTCGGTGATAGGGAAGGGAGAAGTTAGAAAGTGGCAGGACAAGAGTGTTACTTGAGGGCAGAGGGCGAGCACACCCACCAGGGCTCTCCGGGCAGTGGATCCATCGCAAAGACTCCCAGTGCCGCCTCCGTACCGCTTTCTTTGTCAGTGCTTCCGCACGCTCGTCTGCCCCTCTGTCTTCTCATCCTCTGTGTGCCTCTGCCTGACTGCACGTATTCGCACTTTACCCTCTCTGCCTACCTCCTGTCACTGTGCCAGTGCAACTGTAGTCTACGTGTACTTTTCACCGCTTCTGTGTATCTCTCTTTTGTCCGAGACTTTGCTTTTGTTGTATGTCTGATGCTTTTCTTTGCTTCTCTATTTACGCGTGTGCGAGCTTCTCTTTGTTTCTGTCTATATCTGTATCCATGGACCCCCTGTCTGCCTATGCGTGGGTGTGCGTGCCTTCTCAATTTCTGCGTGTCTTTATATATGCATGAGCATGTGTCTGTCACGGGCTTGGCTCTTCAGGGTTGCCACGTGCTATGCAGCGGAAACCACTCAGCCCAGTGTAGCTAACCCACTTTCAGTCACTGTACAGCACTAAAAATAATAGCAGGAGGACATCACGCGTTGTACGCATTCGCACAGATGAGGACAAGACCCCTTCTGAATGTTATTTACTCTTGGGACAATTGCTGTCAATGGACACCTGGAAGGACCCTGAAACCATCTTTGCCATCACACTGCCACCTGGTGACATGAATGATATACAATGCAGGAGATATTAAGAGGTTCAATGAAATTTTTACCAATTCAATGTTGTCAGTGTATTAAATAATTATTGAATCAATTATATAATCAATGACATTTTTTGCTAAATCTAACGGCCACTCGTGGCTGGAGGAGCAACGGGAACCCATTACGTACAACATACTGGAATGAAATCCAAAACATCAGTTCTCACGCACGATTCTATTAATTGTATCACGAGCTATAGAATCTCGATGAATCAACGCAGAGCTACTTCACGTCTAACAGACTTTACATAACAGATGTGTCGAACAATTCACGGTGTATTTGCGAACAGATTACACCCGTAATGATGAAGGGGCCAATGCTTAAATGTGAATACATCAGGATCTATGTTGGTGCCACATTAATATTCTAAACCCCTCTTCTCTGTTTGACTAAAGGAGGCTCCCATGGGTCTCTCAATTTATGCAAGTCATGTTTAAATAATACATGGAATTTCCCAAAGGGCAGGGTTCAACTGACAACATGCGGGCCAGATGTGGCCCAAAAAGACTCTTGGAGCGGCCTGGCCAGGCTAGGGTCTACGAGAGTTCGGGTTCACGGAGGCATTAAAGATAAAGATGACAACAGATAAGGAGGACGTGGAAAGAAAAGGTAGATAAACAGTAGTGGGATGAATAAAAAAAAAGTATGAACACTGACAAAGAGAACGGAGCAAACGTTTGGCGTGGAGAGGTGCGCGCTTGGCATTGCACAAACAAAACAGAACGGATTTTAGGGACATCATAAGTTGGCCTGGCCATGACGTGTCTATAGCAGGGATGATTGTTGACGGTGGAGACTAACAAGGGAGTGGCAGCACAGGGAGGGACGCGCCTGAGAGACTGTCCACTCAGGAGACGGATTGTTCGGTCAGCTCACGTGCATATGCTGCATGAATTGCTGCATCGCTTCACAGGGAAGGATGTCGGTGGCTTGGGGAGGCCTTCAGCCAGCAGTGGCTGATGACGTTGACAGGCGTTATGGCTGCATGATGTCATGTGACACGAGGACTCTAAGACGTCGCGTGACATATGATGTCATGTCGCCCGCCCGCACACGCTGCTAGTTTTATGACGTTTTACAACAGGGTGGTTGTGCTCATCACATTGGCTAAAGTTCCGATATGGTATAGCAGAGTATTGCAATAATTAGAGCACATTAATCGTTAGCTATCATTAGATATATATATCATTACATTCATTTATTGGAATTGTCATTATGTTACACGCTTTAAGTCATTCAAGTATTATAATGCATCCACACCACTGGTAAAAGTTAACACATTGTGCAAATACAGTACAGCCTTGTCGACTCACTTTGCTTCCCATAAAAGGCACAATTGACAGCCCTTTGAACTGTTGGGTAAGGTAGTAAAGCATGGCTGTAACCCAGGAGCTCAATGTAAAGTTAGTGGCTCATGCAGAAATAGAACCAGGATGCAATCTGAGACACCCATCTGTCTGAAAATAAGGCAATACTGAGAGAAGTACAGCAAGTAGGTTGTCAACAAGTTACTGTGTGGCGTTCAGTGGTATCCATTCGCATGTCATTTTCCCCACATGCAAAATACAGTGATGACAATCATCATTATTGGCCTTAGATCTCGAGCAGAACTCATCGGAATTCTCCAGGATAAACACATTCTGATTCTGAGTACTCGTGAATAATCTCAAGCTTCATTTGTCCTGATAAAGACACCATCTGCAAGCACAAGACAGGTATATAACATGTCAAGGCGATGCATTCCGTGTAGTTTCCCCCTCCTCGGGTATCCTAAGATATCCTGCCTCCCATGAATATGTCCCAGGGTTTTGTACCTCCGACGTGACAACTCTGTCGGCAAGGGTTAGCCGGGGAGTAAAACTCCAACACAAGATCACGCGTTCTGTCCGTTGTTTTGCTTGTGCAGTCTAAATGTCTAACTTGAGAGACGTGGCCCAAAGTCCATGTCAGTTCAGCATTACTGCCGCAGCCCTGTCCCTCTACAAACTCGGCACGTGCCCTGGGCACGGGCGTCGGACTCTGACCACCGCCGCCGCGTCGCTCTTTCGTGAAACGCGTTCAAGTGTTCGAATAAAACGCGCCGTCCGTTCTTGCCGTACAGTTCCTCGGAGATTAAATAACGGTGCCATCGAGTTGAACGAGGGTGGTGAGAAAGTGTGCGTGCGGATAGACCCTTTTGATCAACCAGTCCCGCCGGAGCCCATTTAATCACGGCAGTTAAAGTTCCCATAGTTGCGAATAAAACTCGTTTTGAATTCCATTTTTTATTGTGACTTGCATGTAAATAATTTTTCAAGCATCGAATACAAAATGCAATAAACAAAATTACTGGGATTGGTGAAATCAACAAGTCAGGTATAGTAAGTACATCTACAGTCCTTTCGTCAATTCACTGCGGGATGAAAGCATCCCACTCCGAATAGGTTGTGGGGCATCTTCGACTTTACTTTACCAAGCTGGTCTGTGTGGGTTGATGATGGCAAGATGCTCACCTTGCTGTTTGCTTATTTACGTAACGCTGACAAACAAGAAGAAAATGTGAGTTAAGTTCTCAAAATGTGTTTCAATCCTAACATTCTCTATAAAAATAACTCATCTGGTCTGCCATTATCTGCTATGTGGTGGGTGACAGTAGGAACTTGACAACTCCATATAGTAAATATGTGACGTATATTTTACTCTAAAGGCCACTCTCAAATGTGTTTATGTACTGCAATCATATCAATACGTGCAGTAGTAGTATGATTAGTGTCAGTGTTGGCTTTGACAGCTGACAGCCTTTAAGTTCATGCGGACGAGTTTTTCAATGCTACAACCTTGAACTACTTTGCCAAAAGGAGAATCATTTCCACGACTGTATTTGCAGAGAACACCTGCAGGCTTAAAACCAATATATGAGGTGTCATTGTATATTCACAGAGCTATATATATATCAGGTTTACTTAATGCCATATGATACACTAACACTTATTGAGTCACTAAAACAATCAAGCATTTTAATTGTCCTACGGCTAACCTTTCCATCTCGTCACAATTAGTGGACTGTATTTTGTAATCTTCAATTCCTCACTGCCCGAGACGGCACAGTGATGCCAGGCATGTGGGAATATTTATTAAGTTGGGGGGGGGGGGACGATTAGCCGCGGGGGACCCATTCTCAACTATATAGGGCCCACAGCATGTGCCTGTCTCACACCATAGCATGCCACAGTCACCCAGTTTAGTTGACTGTTACTCCAGTACAATCTTGTCTGCTTAGAATACAGCATACCACAGAAAGTAAAAGTGTATAAATGTACAGATTTAGTGTATGATGATACTGCAATGTTTAATCCATACTACATATACTGCACTGGTAGCCTATGCTTAAAGAGTGTTGTATTAAACACCATAATATCAATGAAAGGTTATCTATTGCCCTCATCATCACTGTCACATGTCACCAATCCAACACGAAATATCTACAGCACGACCAATATGGGAACGGCAAGCAGCTTAACCTAAGCCGTGCTAATCTACAGACACGCTCATCATCTTCCACACATCACGAGCCACATCCTCTGCCCGTGACAAACCAACCAGCGAGCTGCACCACTGCATCACTCAGCATGACCGACAGGATGATGATGGTCACACCAGCTGGCTGGGGCTTTGTATTGATGGTTTTTTACGATATTAAAGTCTTATCGACATGCTGTGGCACAGCACTTCATTATTAGCCCTGGGGAAACGTCAGTTCGGCCCATCATCACCCCCCTGGGGTCATTAAAATTAGTCTCAAATTGTTTAAGTTATTGCATTCATGTGCATTATTCAGACTCGGCTCCGTCATAGGAATGTAAAATTCCCACCACTGGCACAGGACGTTTGTCTTTAACTGTGATTACAGTACACTAGTCCATCTCTTGCAGGTAGCCAATACTGTATGATACTTGCTCAATCGCCTTGGCCCTGTGTTTCTGCCCGAGTGTCCTTCCCAGCACTGCCCTGCCCCATCGGGGCCGAACCTTGCCCTGCCATGCCCATTCGTGCCCAGCACCGTCTCCCTGTGCGTGCCCTCTTCCCCTTGCCCTCGTCTAGCCGTGCCCTTGCCTCTCCCTTCCCCTGCACACTCGCCTGCATCCCATCCCTGCCCACCCCATCCCCACCGCTAGCCCCGCCGCAGCCGCGACCCCCCGGGTACCGGATCGTGCTCTCCAGGGGGACCCCCTCGGCGCAGACTTCGTCCAGGGCCGCGTCGATTCCTCCCGCAGCCTGGCGGGGCTCCGCGCTCCCCGCAGTCGGATCCCCATCGTCCGCTCCGACCCGTTTGTCCCCGGCGCCGGCATCAGCCCGAGCGGCAGAATTAGCAGCAGCGGCTACCTCTGCCATGTTCTGAGCGAAAAATCAACGTATCGGCAGCAGAAGCAGCAGGAGCAGCAGGAGCAGCAGCAGTAGCAGGAGCCAATTCCTCGGAGATGAAAGCACAGCCCGTCTGATGCAAGCGGCAAGGACAGCCAGGATGAATGAATGAGCCGAGCGCCCGTGTGCTTGCTATTCCGCATTCATTTCAGCGGCATTAGGCGCTACAGCGCTGTGGCTCATTCGCTCGTCACGGAGTCGCCGGTCGGTCGGGACGCGCGCGCACGCGGACGCGCATTGCGACCTCGCAGCAGCAGCAGCAGCATCGACACGCGCGCGCGTTCGCATGTCATTAACATAATGCGCCGTGTGCTGCGTTCAGTGAGCAAGAAGGCAGTGCTGGGCAGTGCTGGGGAGATGGACGTGGGGGGCGCTACAGACTTGCTCTTCACGTGTGAATGACAGCGACAGTGACAGCACACTCGTCAACACCGCCGTCTTCAGGGTTGGTCGACACAGCCACTCACTCGCGACTGTCGGATGCGAGAGCGTGAAAAACACGCAGTGGCATCGTTCGTGATATCCGCGTGAAATTATGTGCACGAGTCTCCACTTCCATATCAGTAGATTAATTTATTTTTCTAGAAAAGTATTTTTTGGAGGGCGGGGAGTGGTAAATTATATTGTCAAAACCTGGACATTTTATTCTTTCATTGGATCCTTCCCGTATTTTAGTGCACTTTATTTTTGTATTTCCCTTTGTGCAGTGTGCATGGGTTAAAGGGTTGAATAAAAAAAATAGTCGCGAGTCACTTCTGAAACACTAATAGTAGGAGGCAACGCACGTTTATTCTACACTTTAGACACTTGTTCACACAAGGGATAACTATGAACGGGTCAGGACAGCCGGCATGCTGCCTGACCCACGACGCCGGAGACGAAGACGCAGCACGACGGGTTCCATTCCAACGACAGACTGCCCCGATCCAGCCTCAGGACTTCTCTTTTATGCCCCCCCGGCGTGGCCTGGCTCCGCCCTCGGCCACGCCCCCTTTTGAAACCTACCAGAAGGTTCTGGGCACTACCCCACGTGTCCCCTCAGTCACCTTTGCCCCACATCCCTTACCCCGGCCTATCACGTGCCCAGTTAGCCGGCCGGGCTGCTACATCCTCATATTCCCATTTCTGCCCACGGCCAGCGCTACGCACCCTAGTGACCCATTCCGTGGCATTGCATGCTCTACTGGCAGGACGGCTGTTACACCCACAATTCCCATCTCTGTCAGTAACCAGCGCCACGCACCGTAGTGACCCATTCTATGTCACTGCAAAAGCATGCAAAGTGTAGTAAACAATCTGACTGGGTCTAGAAAATGCGATTCCTATTAAAGGTGACTTCATTTTACAATTGTTAATCTTGGTTGTGATATATGTGTTAACGTATGCATAATATGGAATCCATTGAAATAAATGTGGTATTTCAACTTGGCATGTCAACTTGGGGAGATATGTTATCTCCCTTGTCTTGTATGCAGGAGGTCGTGGGTAGAACCGGACCTTGATGCCTGCTGTATATTTGAAGTTTTCGTGTCTTTATCTCCGTGGCCACGCGGAATTTTCCCGGGTCCTCCGTTTTTTTTCGTTCACATTTAGAAACATGCGTTTCGATTATTTGGCTGATATAAATTTCCACGTCATAAGCCACTTTGTTGAGCAATAATTTGTATCTAGGTCGCTTCTGAAAATAGCTATATAGCTTAGTGGGCCTTATCTGGTAAAATAAAATAAAAAATTATAGTTATTGTCAGTTGGCACCTTAAATATTCCTCAGGCGTGCCAAACTCTCCAATGAGAGTTTCCCACTTACCATGGACGATGCTTAAACACCTCCGATAACTCTTGACTTAAAGCTTTCGTGACTGCAGGAATTAATATTCTTTGGGTTTTTCGGTAAAGTCACGTAGATAGGTTCACAGAAACTTATCGTTGAACCTATCTACGTGACTTTAAATACCCAAAGAATACATACGGTAACTCTCATGCGTTCTAAATTTAGCTGGGAAACTCTTTCAAATATATCTACTTTTAATCCTAAAATATATTTAGTTAAATGTTTGAAGTTTTTTCACTTCACCGAGTCTAAATATGTCCCAAGGGGGCATCCATTGAGTACGTACGCATGGAGGGGGGGGGGGTTAACCCGAATGCGCACGCTTTTGTATGGGGGATCTACTGACAATGTGCGTAAGCATGGGAAACGGGGGAAGGGGGGTGAAGCCTCGCTAATAATTTTTCTACATTGGCCTTCAAATGAGCCACAGTTCAGTGTCTTCAGCTGTCAGACAACAAGTCCTGCCGGGAGAAGTGGGACTGTGGGAGAGGTGTCACTCGTGTGCCACCGTGCCCCTGACTGCAGCTATCACGTGGCTCAGCAAAATAAGTGGCCAAGGTACGCAGCTTAATTATCGAATGCAGCCGGCGGTGGACTATCTGTTTGCTTAAACACGTTCATATGATTAATCCTTGATCATTTCTGCGCGGATTAAATAGCGGCCGTTCTAGGATTCGGGAGGAGGGGAGTGCGTCAGGCGTACGTACGCTGATGGGGTGTAAAAGGTATGCGTGCGTACAGGGAGGTGGGGAGGGGTCAAGTTGACAGATTTTTGCGTACGTACTAAATGGATGGCCCCCAACATTTTTCCCGCTGTTCTGACTCCATTTCGATGCAGTTTTACTAACCAGCGTCCACAAGGTTGTCTGTAGCAATAGTCAACTCCACCAGGGCTCCATGTTTGTGACCGGTGATTTTTAACACCAGTCAGTTGCCTCACCTGTCCTGTCAATAACCATGACTGTTGGGGGTCCATAAAGCCATGGGTGGCAAGGCGAGGTTTTAAACAATTAGATTTTATGAGGTTTAAATGAAAATTCTCAATATCCCGAAGGGCCAGTTAGGGTGAGGTTTTGAGGTTTATTATAAAAAGACGCCATTTTGGTTTTTGCAGGAAGTCTGACTGAAGTAATGGGCTGTGGAAGGCCAGAGCATGGAAATCAGAAATATTTGCATTACCTGAGTTACTAGTGTCATCACACGAATGCATGTGCTGCTTTTTAGAGGGCAATGAATGGCACCGAGATAGATGATCGTCCCGAGTGGTATGCGTCGAACAAGAAGCAGGCGAAGCCATCGAAGCAAAGCGGCAGCTCAACTCCATCTACATCGAATGCTTCGTCGATGAAACAAGGATCGATCAAAGATCACCTAATACCCAAGCTCAATAAGCGAATGAAGAAGAAGTTCTAGCAGGCCATAGCAATGCATTACTTTGTCTCGGGCACGTCGTTCCAGCAGGTCGAGGTAGAGAACCCTTTGCCCAGATGCAGTGCTGCCGAACAGGGCGTACATCGACATGAAGAAGAAGGTTGACACCGTTCTGGACAATAAGACCGTTTGCCTGACATCTGATGCATGGTCAAACATCAAGAATGATCCGATTGTGAACTACATGGTCACATCGCCGTCCAGAACGTTGTTTCTCGAATCGGTGTCCGCTGGAGAGCAGGGCCACAACGCTGACTGGATCGCCTCGGATCTTCAATGTGTGATGGCGTCCCATCGGAAAACTACATTCACTGGCGCGGTCACCGACAACACATCCACCAACAAGAATGTGTGGGAACAGCTCTCGAAGGCTTACCCATCCTCCTATTTCCAAGGCTGTACGTCGCATGGTCTGCATTTGCTTGTCAAGGACATATTCTCTGCAACGAAGACGAGGAAAGCCGGCCAATCAGAACACACATACCCGATCGACTATCCGTTCGAGTACCTGCTTGAGTTCATCGTGGGGTGCAAGGTCACGATCAAATTGTTTCATAACAATCATGTTCTCAAGGTACAGCTGCAGGCTGAACAGAAGATTGCTGGCATTCGAGCATTGGTCCGGCCGGCTCCTACACGTTGGGGAACGATCAAAGGCTGTTGCGAAACGCTGTTGTCATCGGAGAGGATTCTGCATTCCATTGTCACAGCTCGCGACTTCATCAAGGGGACAGCAGCTCAGAAATCCGAGCGCATGTGAATAAAGACCATCATTACGAGCGATGACTTCATGTTGCAGACGTCCCTTGCCATTCTTACGCCCATTGATGCATTGATTGTCAAATATCAATCCGATTCCGTACCAGTCTCTGAAGTCCTGCCGGATTTCCATGCCCTCCCTGCTGAGTTTAACAAACTGCACGAAGACGGTCATGCGAGCGCTGAAGCGATCAACTACCTGATCAAGTTGGCAGCAAGTCGCTTTCAGTTCATGTACGAAAAGGCCCATGGACTGGCATATCTGTTAGATCCTCGCTTCATTGGAGAGGGTTTGAGCCTGGCTAAACGAAAAGAGCTGGAAAACATCTTACTGGAGACACCGATTGACGATGAGACAGCGGTTGATGACGAGAGGCGAGAGGCGCTCTTTATGCAGCTCATCGAGTACGTCATTTCGGCGCAGCAGGAGGATGCCGGCGAGTTTAGCTTCATCATGCTGCTCAAGGGACGTAAGACACCTTTCCAGTATTGGCAGTCTGACGGCGTGGCCTGGCCCGATGTTCAGAAGATTAACGTCAAGCTGTTCACGATGGCGACATCCTCTGCAGCCTCGGAGCGCAACTTCTCAACTGTGGGCTTCATACACAGCGAGCTCAGGAACAGCTTGGCGCCCAGTTCGGCGGAGAAGTTGGTCTACCTAAGGGGTCCTCAAACTACGGCCCGCGGGCCACATGCGGCCCGCCGAGGACATTTATCCGGCCCATGGTCACTAATTGGGCTGCGCTTGTGAGCACTGATTGGGCTGCGCTGGTGAGCACTAATTGGGCTGCGCTGGTGAGCACTAATTGGGCTGCGGTGGTGGGCACTGATTGGGCTGCGCTGGTGAGCACTAATTGGGCTGCGCTGGTGAGCACTCATTAGGCTGCGGTGGCGAGCACTGATTGGGCTGCGCTGGTGAGCACTCATTGGGCTGCGGTGGTGGGTACTGATTGGGCTGCGCTGGTGAGCACTGATTTGGCTGCGCTGGTGAGCACTGATTGAGCTGCGACGGTGGGCACTCATTGGGCTGCGCTGGTGAGCACTAATTGGACTGCGCTGGTGAGCACTAATTGGGCTGCGCTGGTGAGCACTCATTGGGCTGCGCTGGTGAGCACTCATTGGGCTGCGCTGGTGAGCACTGATTGGGCTGCGGTGGTGAGCACTAATTGGGCTGCGCTGGTGGGCACTGATTGGGCTGCGGTGGCGAGCACTGATTTGGCTGCACTGGTGGGCACTGATTGAGCTGCGGCGGTGGGCACTGATTGAGCTGCGGCGGTGGGCACTCATTGGGCTGCGCTGGTGAATGGTTCAATGGGCTAATTGACTGGACTTGCCCCCCAGGCCTAAGGCTGCCAGCCCTCCCCTGGCTGTGTTTGACTGGCTCTCCCTCCCTCAGCTCCCTCACTTGCCCCTCGGCTCCACTCCCAGTAATATTCCTGTGTGCTGGGGATGTAGATCCCCAGCACACGCACCGCTGAGTAAATGATAGAGGGGTAATAACAGAGTGATCTCTGATCTCTGGAGGCGCTGCCTGCTGTTTTCCCGTGCTGGTCAGTGACAGACAGCCGAGGAGTAGGAAACCCAATTTAAATGACAGTAAGTGCATTTATATTCTGATTGCTATTCAGTTGTATGAGGTTATATGTTGTATGTTGTGTAAGCCCCGGTTCATACTGTTGCGATATCTGAGCAGTGCGAGTTCAGCCATATGCTTGTATGGCTGAACTTGCATTAGATTCGGAAGAAAAAAGGCACATGTGCCTTCTTTTTTCCTGCAGTGGAATCGGATCGCATGGGTCTTCTCCCCATGCGATCAGATTCCTATGCGAGTTCGCAGATCGCACTGCGATCTGTGAACAAAACTGCAGGTGTAATTAACTTTTTAATGGCACCCGCACCAGTGTGAGCCTGGGGTAAAAGCGGAGTTCCCCCAATCAGACTGCATTGATGGGCAGTGCAGTCTGTATGTCTCTGTGTGGGCAAAGTTATTGCTGGTATATTGTTTTTGTAGCGCTGTATATATATTGAAAGAGAAAAATTGACTCGGAGTGTAGGATATTCAAAGAACAGTGGACTTATGATTACTTTTTCATGCAATACAAGGAAAGAGCTGTGTGTCTGATATGCCAGAATATAGTGTCTGTGTTCAAAGAATACAATTTACGTCGACACTATGAAACTCAACATAAAGATAAATATGATTGTTTGGTCGGAGAAGTGTGAAAAGATAAAATATTAAAACTGAAAAATACATCAAGTCAAGCAGCCTTCATAATTTCTATGCATCTCTCCCCTCTGAGACATATCCTCATCTCAGGAACCATGCACTCAAAATGGCAACCATCTTTGGCAGCACTTATGTCTGTGAACAGACTTTTTCCAGAATGAAACATTGGAAATCTCCAACCAGATCTAGACTAACGGATGCACACTTGCATCACTTGTTACGACTTGCAGTGACAAATATGGAACCGGACATTGACCATCTCATTAGCCAAAAGCAGGCCCATAATTCCCATTGAAATACTGGCAAGTTTGTTGATTTAACTTTACTTGTTCTTCATTTTAAATATGGTATTTGTTCCCGTTTTGTTTCTTCACTTCAAAATAAGATATATGTAGTGTGCATAGCAATTTGTTCATAGTTTTTTTTTACTGTAGTCCGGCCCTCCAACGGTCTGAGGGACAGTGAACTGGCCCCCTGTTTAAAACGTTTGAGGACCCCTGGTCTACCTCAAGAGCAACTATGGGGCAGTTCTATGTCTGAGGGCGACGACGACATGGACTCGTTGGAGGAGTAGTACTGATCTGGGAGTATTGCGAATGAAACCATGAGGTTTATTAAGTGTATTAAGGTTTATTAAGGTTTGAACCTTTAACCACAAATTCGTATCTGAAAAAATGTGGGTTTTTCCACCCCTGCACAAAGCACAACAGCGCCGCAGCCGCGGGTCGTAAAAACAAAAGAGCAGCCATCGCGGTGTGCTTGCGTGCGGATGTCGGGGGTTGTTTCCAGTTGAGTGAAAAGCAGAAGTTGGCTTCGCCGTTTCGAATTTTCAGGTCATGACAAGGCACTTTATAGTACTTTATTTGTATTCCCCCGGTTGGCTACGTACAGTGCGAAATAAGTTCAACATACAGTACATACATACTTAATGATGATGATAAATGACAACTAGTGTATTTTAGATCACCCTTCACGCCAGGGCATTGCAGCGCTTTACGCGCGATTAAAAAAAAGCAGACAAGCATGCTGCAGAGGTCATGAAAAGCATAACTTATTACATGTTCCGTCAAATATTACTTTTTTAACTTTAAAATTAAAAGGTTCAGATTTTTTTTTTTTTATGTTCGGAGCGTTTTAACTTACAACGTTCATGACAAGTTACGTTTAAAGTTCAGTGGACGGGTTTTGGTGGGGCGCTGGGTTCAGCGTTCAGGTCTCCACACCTATCAGTATGCACGGTATGTTGAACTTCTTTCGCACCGTATGTAAGCCACCCGTGCTAATCGGAGGTGTAGGAGTATCTCAGATCCCTCCCTTCCCGAAGAAGCGTGACCTAACCAGCGGACCTACCTCGACCAAAGCCGGTCTCAAACACCCTACTACACTGCTATACGGTCAGTACAAGGGATAGCTCTCTTTATATATATAAATAATAATAGCTCACAGTAAACAGGTCCGGGGATTCCCCGAGTCTCGGGCGACCAAGGGTGTTACCTGAGAAAGGATTCATTCACTCATTCGCTCGAGTCCCGAACGAGATCTCTTCATCGTACACGAGTAAGTACCGTGCTCAAAGTTTAATTGTATTTAAGAGCATACATGTTCTGGAGTGTGCCGTTCGTATTCGGGTGCTAATATAGAATTTGGGGGTCTGAGTGACAAGCAATTTACGCAAATAAAAAATTGCGGCGACAAAAACTTGTATTAACTCCGATTCCGGTCGGGATTTACATGAAGAGATACTCACGCAATGTCCACGGTAGACTTGAGAGTAACAGCCCTACTCATGACCACAATATCACAATGGGGACGGGTACGTTGGGGAGAGGGCTGGCTTTGTGGATACTTGGCGGTAAATGTGGGGTGACTTTGTGGTAGGTTATGGAAACGTGCGCTAGTTTGTGGTAAATGTGCTGTAGTTTGTGGTACATTTGAGGTGGGCTGTGGTATTTTGCGGTAGTTTGTGGTAACATTGCAGTAGGTTGTGTGTTTTGCAGTAATTAGGACACATTAGGGGAGATCACATCCACCGTAAGTGCGCCAGACACTCGAACAGCGTGCATTATCTTTCAATCGCATGAATTAAAAGAAAAACATCAACATGCCTCGGCCCACAGACTCGCTGAACACACGTTACATTTATGTGGCTTTGTGAATGTGTTCAAACTATAATGAAGCGTAGTTATATTAGTAGAATATTTTATATCACCAAGCGATTATAATTTTGATAGATTCGTTCATGAAGCCATCCAATTTTTTACACCTGATGACGATTGCTTGTGTTGCGATCGAAACGTCGTGATATTTTGATTATTTTTTCTGTCTACGTGACTTTACCGAAACACCCAATGAAAGCTTTAAGTCAAGATTCAATGTAATATCAAAATCGGTACTTTTAATAAACATTTAAAAGTTTTAAACACGTTTCAAATGTTCTGTACTGTGATTGTTTCCTTTTCAGTGTTCAAGTTCATTCTCAATTGGTTTTCCATCAGCAGTCTCTTTCCAGCAGGTATGTGCCCTTGCCCTCGTGGCATTGACAAGCGATGACAGCCCTGATGCATTTGCCTTAAATTTGCCGAATTATGTTGCGTTGCCAGTGTGTACTCCTCTCGTATGCTAAAGCAGGGTAGAGGCCGCTGCAGGTAACAATGAACGTAACTTTTTATTTTGTACTATAAGTGCCATAGACTGTTCTATGGTACTTGAATTGTAAATGTTGTGTGTTTACTTCCCAACACCGGTGTGTTGTACTTGTAACCAATTGGCATGTTTTGTTTACGTAACAAACCTTACTTATTGGCTGTCGGGAGGTGGCGGGTTTAACGCCACATTTATATATTTACGCGATCTAACCCAAAAAAACTCAATTACGTTTTTTTTTGTTCCAGTCCGCCTAGCGCCGCTTTTTACTCACACGCACAGATTTTTAGCGGCGTTAAAGGCGAACTGGAAAACGGCTTTACGTGAAACTATTTGACATTGTAGTGCGGTCCATGCCGAGTTCTCAATGTGCAAGGAAACAGCTGAGTGCTGTCCCGAGTATCCTTGTTTTATTACTCCTATTTTCCATTGGCATTTTGCATACAAAAGAAGTCATCATATTGTCTGTGGGGTCCTCAGATAAGGGGTCATCGTGTTGGTGGATGGGACATTTCTGCTTGCTTGTAATGCTTTGCCGAGTTTCATTCGTTGAAATGGCCTGTCTGCCAATAGTGTAATCGTCACCCACGATCTATGCTTGACTACCTGTTGCAGTTTAAGTCTGTGAATTTATTATATGAATAATGTGGCAATAGTGTGACGAAATTTTTTTTGTTCTTGTACAACTACGTAAACTATGTTATTATTTCCATTCAGACAGGAATGATCATGTTTTTTATACCAAAGAAAATAAAAGAGTATCACTTGTGATGGGGAACCTTGAAGATCAAGATGTAAGTTATTATTTATGTTCTTTAAAAACAACTACAGTGCTCCCCCCCTACTGCCGAGGCCTATGTCAGCTGTTATCTCCGACTCTCTGTGTGTGTCTCTCTCTCTCTGTGCATCCCTCTCCGATCTCTACTCCAGTGACCCGGATACTGCTGCGGGGTCCACTTTCCGCCCCGCCTCCTCCCCCCTTCTCTCCACCCCCCCCTACTGCCGAGGCCTATATAACCTCGTGCCACGGCAGATCTCTCGCCTACTTCAGCAGTTTTTTCTTGCTGTGGTTGTCCCACCTGATGACGATTGCTTGTGTTGCGATCGAAACGTCGTGATCTATTATTTTTCTACCTACGTGACTTTACCGAAAGAACCAAAGAGTATGGATTCCTGCAGTCACGAAAGCTTCAAATCAAGATTGAACTACAGTGCTATACTGTTTCCATGATTCAGGAACACACTTTGGCCTTACACGTGTTGGGGATGTCCGAGCCATCCTCACACTTTCGCACCACACAAACACACAATCTCCGCACTCAGCATAGCACACACCAATCACACGCACGGGAATACACTAGACGGGGTCAAAGGTTAAAGCGTACTGACATCACACGCACGTGCGAGACAGAGATGTCGATTAGGAAGGGGGGGCGGAGATAGAGGGTTTAAAAGGGGCTGTGAAACGCGTGTTCGAGGTTGGTTTGAGGAACGAGTGTGGCTGTCGTTTGAACAATAAAGAAGTGCTGAACCAGGCTCCGACTCCTCTTCACAAGTAACGAATTTACGTACTTTGAACTTCAAAAATCAACACTCCAATCTGCGAATTCCTGCACGATAATTGACGGATTAGCCACAGTTCATGACTCCCGGTAGTTTTAACCGATATACTTTATTAACATAGCAATATGAAGTGTACATTTTTTTCCCCCAGACCGATGTCATCGTAAACACAACCTCGGCACAAATGAACCTCAATTGTGGAGCCGTGTCATCTGCGCTCTCTCGTAAGGCAGGGCCTGCACTCCAAGCTGCTGTCAACAAGAAAAAAGAGTCCACTGAAATTTCTGGCGACATTGTAGACACGGAAACCACCAATTGCCGCCTTTGCTGTAAGAATGTGTATCACATATCCCTTGGCAAGAATTCTCCAAAATCACTCGCGGTAAGAGATGTTATCAAATAATATACACGTACCACGATACGTGCAATTCAGTGCATACTTAAATGTGTATTTATGTGCAGTACTTCAGAATGGATATTCCAATGATTTGTGGCAAGAATGTTGATATTTGAATCATCAAAACCCTCATCTAGTTATATGTTAATGAGGGTGAACTGCCTAATTTTTTTGTAAACATTAAAAAAATGCAACAAATATTCACGTGAATAACCATAAATGTTCCCATAGAAAGCACCCACCATATTTATGCCATGCAAAAAAGGTTTCTTTGGCTGTGTTTTGTTACATCAAGTGGGGTGTGGGAACATCAAGGTTGAGGCACATTTACCCCAAATTATTTAGATTCATATCTCCAAGGTGCGCTCCTCAGTGTGGGCATGGCAAAGGATGGTTGCTGTGAAACTTTTTCCCACTATTCACTGCCCACTCTTCACTGCATCGAAAAGCAGTATATAGTTTTTTACATCTCAGTCCACCAAAAACTATTCATGCTGCCTATGGAACTTCACACAAACCTATAATAGTCTGCCTTAAGAGTTAACGATGCTTGAATGATATCTATATTATGAAAAAACACGAAAATGGCATTAACTTAGAGACATACGTTTCATGACCCACAGGATACTGTGATCCGTATCTTTGCTGCGACTTGCAATGACACCATTGGGTCATTGGTGTTGTGCACTTTGTCTGTATTATGGCATGTGAAGACATGAATGAGAGCGCGTGGTTTTGATGCGCTTAATGACGTGGCATGTGTGTTGTAGTCGTGGTCGCCAAAACAAGTTTCTGTGTGGCCTGCATGAGCAACTGTTGCAGAGGCCCCAGCACAGGTGGGAATGGAGGCATCCATGACTGAATATTGCAGTGGCAGTATTGGTTCCACTCAGTCTCTGCAGATGGTCTTAAATATCTTGAACTTGTAGGTAGCGGGTCCCGATTACGGCGATATGTAATGCAGCGACTTAGAAGTCGCTCTTCAGTCTTCTTAGGCATTACAGTACCTTATTGCCATGGTGGTGTCAGTGGAAGCCTCTTGTTAGAGCAGTCCCATTGCTGGCTGGGCAATGAACCCAAATCTCGGTCGTCCCCCCAGAGCTTTGGGACGATGCTATCATGGAAAGAACGAGGGCGGTGGTGACATGTGGAGGATAAACGGTGTTTTTTTATATACAGTATATCGCACATGCAAAGTAAAAACTAATTTCCAACACAAGTCACTACGACTCGCTCATTCCACGCACCTCAAGAAAATAAATAGGTCTGAACTGTGTCGTCTATCTGGATTACCTTGTTGGAGGTGCGAACTGGGGTGCACCCTTTGTGGTTGGGTGCCTTCCACGTGATGGTTGGGTACCCTCCACGTGATGGTTGGTTATTTGTGACTGACCAGGACCTGATCGGTGGAGGAATTCAGCGGTTCTGGACTGTGCCATCTTCTGCGGAACACAAGACTATCTTTTGAGGAGCCGAATATAGATGTATATTGTTCAGGTAGTCGATGATATATTTTGGTAGCGCATCTGCGTGAGTTATATTCAAACATTGGCGAGGGTGGCGGTGATATCTGGGAAACTGATTTTTTTTAATAGATAGTGGATTCCTGCAGTCACGAAAGCTTCAAATCAAGATATATTTACATGATAGAAATACTACTTCAATAGTATTGCGGTGGATATCGTTTACAGAATTTTAAAAAAGTCGTGATGGATTGCCTAAAGTTGGCTGATGCGTCCCAGCATCAGTCGATCTCTCTGCCAGCACTGGGCACTGGCATTTTAGGTTACCCACCAAAGGACGTAGCGGATATCGTGATTGACGCTGCCATCCAGTTCAGCAAGGACTATCCCGACTCTACTCTCAAGCTCATTCGAGTTGTGCTCTTTCCATCCAATGACAGCATCGGTTCTGTGAGTACAACTTGGAAATGCGATTTTAAAAGGCAATATGTAGGTCATTTACAACATGGACAACTGTGCACCCCCATTTTCCATAGCAAATGAAATACGGTACTGAAATGCTTTGCTGCTTCATTGTAATATTGCTCTCTGCAATTTGTGTTGATGGAAGGACTGTATGTTGTGGTGTGTTTTATGTTATAACAAAAAGATTGTTAAATACAATCATCGTATTACTGAATAGTGACAGTGGCATTTTTATATTCTTGGTTGTTTCGGTAAAGTCACGTACATAGAAAAAAAAACATTTGTAAGCCTCCAAATGTAGCTGCTTATAATGGTCCCAAAGTGAGTGCACAAGCAACACTAGCTGCGGAAGCAGGAGCAACACAAAGGGGGAGTTGGGCGGAGGTGGTGAGCTTGTGCAGCGCAAACAGCGTGGGCGGGGCAGCCAGTCAACCAGCGCTAATGTAGGAGCAGACAATGGGGGGAGGAAGGGGGCAGAGACAGGGGGAGAGAGGGGGTGGGGCAGAGATGGGGGGGGGGGGGTAGAGATGGGGGGGCATTGCACCTCGCTACATACATCCACACTGCTGACAGTAGAGGTTGACAAGAAAACACAAATCAAGTCATGACATCTTTTCAATGATTGCTGAGTTTAAAACCGTCGTCTCAGTTGAAATTGTGTCTGATTTTTTTTCTATCTACGTGACTTTTCCGAAAGAACCAATAATATGAATTCCTGCAGTCACGAAAGTTTTAAGTTAAACGTGTCATTTTTGACAAACACAAGATCACGTTTGCAGAATAAACAATGTATGTTGAACTTGATTTATTTGTTATTGGCAGGAGCCAAAATTCTCACCCCAATATTGTTTTGAATGTAGAATTCAAATTTAATGGAGCAAAATTGTGATGTAAGCACATGTGGTGTTTGTAAAATTGTCTGTACATTTGAAGACAGTAGTGCCATACATAGTCCTCTTTACTGTATTACATTTTATCCATTGAATAAAATATTCACTTAAAAATGCCATATACATACTAATTATATTAACTAATTTTGTTACAGGCATTCAAAGAGAAAATACAACATCTTCAATCAGGTAATGTTGGGTACAATTATGACAGTATACAGTATTCTATTCAGGTTTCATTCTTTACTATTATTTAAAACACTGTAGAAGAAGAACCTATTGAAGCTGAATAGGGACTAAATCACTTTATTTATTTATTTACAAGTTCATAAAACCTGCATTCGCCGGGAAAACTTTATCTACGATCAGACACTAACAACTACAAAAAAATCCGCAAAAAACACAAAAATGGCTGAGGACTTGATATTTAAAGACGCATCCATCAGAAACCAATACATTTAAAGATTCCGATCTCAAAAACAATAAAAGATAGAACTGGTTCTCGCTTTAATTGTATTTGCTGTCGACAGCTCTATCTAACGAGAAACCCGCTGTCTTATATTTTGAACTGTTTCTGAATGACACTGCTCACAGACATGTTTATAGGGCACTTCAAATCTAGATTTGGGGACCATAAAATGAAAAATCTAGGATTTTCAGATTTGCCTGTGGTTTGTGTCCTAAACGCTACCTATGTACCAAATGTAATATTTCTACCCTGTCGGAAAGTACCCTAGAAGTTTTTGAGACATACAGATTACGGTCTTTATTTATATAGATAAAGAGCAACACATATGTGCTTGGACATGACCGTCAGTCCAGTTTTCCTTCCCAACCAGCAGTTATTTGATTTTTTTTATCTCATATCGAGCCTTGTCTCTCTCCACCTTTCTCTTGCCTTCTCTGTGCTGTTCATACCAAATTTTCTCCACTTCTCGCCGAGTCTCTGTGTCTCTATTCCTCTGTTCCCTCTTCGACCTATTAGGCCATACTCCCCTCCCCCTCCACCGGACGTCACACTCTTCCCCACCCCGATCTATCCCCCTGTTTCTCTCACCTTTAACCTTCACTCTCGTGTCTCCCAACATTTTCTCATCTCAATCCCTCTTGGATCTCCCTCATCCTTTCTCGCACTGCTTGTCACGTTCCCTCACTTTAAGATGTTCTGTGTTCATATTTTGTTGCGGTTGCACCCGACTTAAGAGCCGCATGGCTCACAGGGCTATACCTAATAAAGGAAACTTGAAACTCATTCTCCCCTATCCACTGTGTTCTCTTTCCCCTCCCAATTCACTCTCGCCCCGGCCCACTGCTCTCCATTGCTACCCACTTTAACCATCACGACGGTTTCACACTGAGTGACGGATGACCACTCCGAAGCTGCGGTGGAAAGGGGCCGTCCATAAATGACGTCACGCGATTTTGGACGATTTTTTACCTTTATTAAAAAGTATATTTAATTAAGTAGATGATGTGACGTGAGATTTCTCAACCCCCCCCCCCCCTCGTCACACATCGTCACAATATTGTCTGACCCCCCCCCCCTAGGTGCGTGACGTCATTTATGGACGGCCCCAAAGCTGATGTTCACTGTATGTTTACGGTTCAGGATATATTCTGACAGGCTTGAAAGAGTCAATAATCTTCTTAAAGTACTGTTCAGCTTTGAGAAAATGGGCATCGAAGAATATGTACTGTTCTATTTACAGGCTGTGTGTGTGCAACATTACCTAAAACACTTCATGTTGTTTGAAGCGGTTATTACTTCACTATGCAAGCTCATTTGGTGAATTTGCATGATCTACAACTTTGGGCGTACATTTTGTAAACACTAATGATTAATTTTACCTGAGTTATGTGTGTTTTTTTTCTTTTTTAGAATGCTACATTTGCTCTCATGATAATAAAAGAATATCACTTTTACTGGGAAAAATTGAAGATCAAAATGTAAGTTGATGTTGTTAACTATTTTTATATACCAATGTTCACTGAACAAGATGCAGATATAGTTTGTTCTCAAAATATTGGGCTAATTACTGGAGCGTAGTGTCGCTGTATCTGTTTTCTTCAAAATAAACAATACAGGAAAACTCCAATCATCTTACAGTGATATGCGGAGACCATATTGTGATCCCACAATCCATGGCACACACCCCAGGGGTTCGTCCTATAATTAATTCATCCTTCGATTTAAAGCTTTCGTGACTGCAGGGATTCATCTTCTTGGTTCTTTCGGTAAAGTCACGTAGAAGGGAAGTAATAAAATAATAAAAATAAAACATAATAAAATAAAATAATTCTCACGACGTTTCGGCTACAACGCAAGCAGCCGTCTTCAGGTGAAGAATGAGACAATGCCAAGCTAGGAGCTTATATATAAGCTGCGTTGGAGGTGGAAGAAGAGCGCCTTAACAAAAGAATGTGCATATGAAAAGGAATTTAGCATATTCATGGAAAATGCGTAGGAGGTGGGCGGGGGGGTTTCAAAGTCATATTATGCCCATGCATTATGCAGGATCAACAGCACCAAGGGGGGGTGCAGGGATTAGCAGTAACAAAGGAAAGGAATGTTAATGATATGTAGCTGCAGGTACTCAACTACCACGTAGGAAACTAAAGTATAAACTACATAAAAAACTAAAGTATATGCAATTTATACTTTAGTTTTTTATGTAGTTTATTACTTCCCTTCTACGTGACTTTACCGAAAGAACCAATAAGATAATTAATCCTTGCAACAATATTTGCGATAGAAGCGGTGTGCCGCGAATTACGGGAAGGCGTGGTTAACCGCGCGACGCCTTTAGTCTGCGAAACAATTGCGAATCACAGGATAAGAGCAGGCATGTGACTAGCGGTTACATTCACGATAAATGTCCGGATTACGAGGTTACGAGTTATTACCTGTGCACACACGTTTTAGCTGTGTTAGAGGGAAACTGGAAAACGACCTTTCGAGACACAGAGACACACAAAGACACAGTGGAAGACATGGTCACAAGGAGATGGTGAGACAGGTAAACAACTGGAAGTGGGCTTGGGGTAGGAATGTCGCTAGCCACGAATACGTACAGTATTGTAACACCTACACCTTTGCATGTCAGTCTTTATATATATATGTGTGTGTCTCTGTGGTGGCAGTGTGTGTCTCTGTGTACTTGTCTCTGCATCTCCGTCTCAGTTACCTGTACAAAGATACAGAGACGTGTCTTTAAAGCACCACGTGCTTGTACTAGTCTACATTGCACTTCAATGATACCTGCTCTGCTTTAAAAACTCCAGATAAAAGGAGTCGGGTGGAAAATGCATCTTGTTATCTACGAGCTATCTGCACATGTTTTGCACCACGAATAAGTCGAGTAAAATAGTGTACTACCACATTTTGTATTGAAAAGAAACTGGAAAAAAAGAATCTGGCTGTCGCCTGATGAAGCTAGTTGTAATTACTGGCGAAACGTCGTACTCAGATTGTAAATGTTGTGGCTTGTCTCTCCAACACACCGGCGTGCTGTACTAGTGATGAATTGGCACGTTCTGTTTACGTGACAACCCTTACTAGTTGGCTTGGTCGGGTGGTGGCGGGTTTTAATGACATATTTATATATTTACGCAAGATAACCCAAAAAAACTCTATTATGGATAAACCGGTTTCCTTTGCAATGCGCAGAGATTACAATTTTTTCAAAATCAAAAATGTATTAATGTTATAAAATGTATTTATTCCTGGACGTATTCTGCCGTGGATCACATGAGGCATAACCTCTCGGAAGAGATTTAAATATCCTCGAATTTTATTCGTGGAGTATGGGAGGAGTCCCTAGCCACGGGTAATTATCTGTAATTCGCAGATTATTGGAGCGTGAATTGTTGGGGTCCTGCTGTATTAACTTTTAGTCCAAATGTAACCATTTAAAATATTGTTTTAAGTTATTTACATCTATATTGCCCATTATCCACCGACTTCAATAAAAATGAGCACGGTATTGTGTGATATCCCCAGTGATTGTCAAGTAAAGTTTATTTTACTGAGCCACGTGCAAACCCAAGAGACCAGGATATATAATATAGTCTCAGTTTCAAGAGTGACCTGAGTCACAATAATTATAAGAGTATAAACAATGAAACAAATAAAAAAGCAGAGCAAAACAACTCACAATATTGCACACACAAATGAACGTTTGGATAGATTGGTGCTTATGATAGGAATGTATCATGTTTAACCACTGCCTCGGCTCCACCAAAATGGACGAATGCCACCCATTGCTCAATGGAGCATGAGAGAGTTTCACTTTCAGCATGAACACATGCACAATGTCCAATTATTTATGAGTGATCCACTTGTTTTCACATCATTTGCAAAGACCTTTAACAAAAAGCTTATAAAAATGCTAAATATATTAATATACTGTAAATTACAGCGCGTTGTCTGTATTACTTGAGAGCTGTTACGGTTATTTGTGCCCATTAACAGAGCCATAAGAGTTTCGAATGTGGAATTGTGTTTCATGGTGGCACGACACATTTTTAGCAACTAATATGTGATCGCTATTTTATGACATTTTTTTTTTACAATTGATTGATTCTTATTTCTCAGACCGATGTCATCGTAAACACAACATCTGTAAAAATGAAGCTCAATGTTGGAAATGTGTCATCTGCGCTCCATTATAAGGCTGGGCCTGCCCTCCAGGCCTCGGTGAACAGGGAGAAAGGCTCCATTGTAAACCACGGAGACATCGTAAACACAGAAACTACAAACTGCAACCTGTCCTGCAAGAGAGTATTTCATGTTTCCTTAGTCTCTTGTTCTTCAACAGAGTGGTGTCTTGTAAGTTACTGTGTTTGGAAAGTCACGTATACATATATGTAAATAGCAGAGGTGTGGACTCGAGTCATGTGACTTGGACTCGAGTCAGACTCGAGTCATGAATTTGATGACTTGAGACTCGACTTGGACTTGCATAACAATGACTTTGTCCCACCTCTGGTAAATAGCACAATTTATATCTTTGTACCATACATTAAGTGTCCTAGCCAGTGCCTGTTTACTGCGACTCGGCATCAAACTCATCGTGAAAATCAGTAGCCAATAACATATACACTTTAATACATGGCTTGCTAGCCACTAAGATATGCGGAAGCGAAACAGATGCACGCTCTGGCCGAAAATTGTATTCTTTATTTTGGTGCTCTATTTACATCGATGGTCTTAAATTTAACGATTTATATGTCTTAAAAGAAACAAAGGGAAAGTAACCACTTGTGCAAAAATATAACTGACAAAAAAAACAAAACATAAGGTCACTTTATAGGTGTACAAGATATAGAATATTGCATTTCAAACAAGCCTGAAACAGATGGTAAATGATCATATACACAAAAGCAAGTTTAAATTAAACAAAACTTATTTCCACATGCAGTAATTTCAATATGAAAAGACATTCGTACCTTTCGCTAAGGATTACCAATGTAAATTATTCCTGCCCCATTCTCGTTTGAGGACAGATACATTTAGATTGCGGACACACATGCAGGTCAATTGCATTAACGATCTTCTTGTTTTTTTCGGTAAAGTAAAAAAAACCAAGAAGATGAATCCCTGCAGTCACAAAAGCTTTAAATCGAAAAATGCATTAACGATGTTAAACCTTTACAGAAACTGAAGAGAGTGGTGATGGATTGCCTGAGGTTGGCTGATCAATTCAAGCATGAGTCCATCTCCCTACCAGCAATGGGCACTGGTAATCTGAGTTATCCAGCACAAAGGGTAGCTGCCATGATGGTTGGAGCTGCCATCCAGTACTACAATGACTGCCCCAACTCCACACTGAAGCTCATTCAGTTTGTCCTGCTTCCCTCTGATAACAGCACAATATCTGTGAGTACAATGTGTAATTAAAGCTGCCAGTATGGTCCACAATTAAAGCAGTATCATAATTAAGCATTCGTATGAAATATTTACTTTATTCACCCAACTTCCTAAGTGTGTCCAATGTGTCATTGCCTATATAAGGCATGATGGCCATATGCTGCCTTTTGCATCTTTCCTTCACTATTATACTCTATTTTGCCTTGTTAAATAATACTGTTGACACATTATGCTTGTAAAAAATCCGCTTGGCAGTTTATGATTTTACATCCTGTGTTGATTAAGAATTAGACCGTTATAAAGAAGGTAAACGTTGACAAATCACCATCTAATAAACAATGTTTTCATGTTAATATTGAAGAGCTGCTTGGGGTTGTGAATGATGCCAACCCTGTGAGGGATGGTGACATCTCTAGGCCTTAAACCAGCAATGAAAAGGCCATGGCAAATCATTACTGTACCGAAGAACACCAGAGACAGCTTTCTGAGTTGGAAAGACAATGCATATATTAGCAGAAAATATTTTTGTTTGCATGTTCACCACAAGTATGTGTGGTTCATGCGGATATGATTCCTTGTAAAAGGTTTCTGTTTGGTGTTTTAACATATTAACACAACTGTTTTATTGGCAGAAAGGGGAGAACCTATTCTTATATTTTGATACTAGCAAGAAAGGTCCCGTAAAAAATACTTTTATTTGAATTTTTTTTAATAATGATTCGTTCAACGTGAATTGCCTCATGAAGATAACATTTTAAGTTGTTCATATTAGAAACCGCTGCAATGACGCAGCCTGATTTGTGCCTCGGGGATATTTCGGAACATAATTTTCAGGAGTGTATTGTGGTGATTATAATCGTGCATATTGAATACTCCGTTGCATTACTTTACTTTTCTAGGAATTCCAAAAGGAAATGCAGCATCCTTCTCAACCACTCACTGATCCAGGTAACTGGGATATCATGGTAGCGAGAAAACCCTCTTAAGGCATGGCGGAAGATGATCGCGATGAACAGCCGTGTAACATCACTCCCTCTCAATGTGTTATGCCTCCACCCGAGTCTCCCTGATGTACTCCACTCCTTGGCCGATTGCACTTCTCCACTGTGTGAGCGATCACCGGCTCGCTCCTCCCGTTTGTTCACAGCAATAGCGGTATCTTTCATACGTCGCCTGAGCACGTCTTTACGCCGCAGAAAGTGCCCTTCTAGATGGGAGTTTTCCTTGGAACAACTCTCCATGCAAGTCTCATTGTGGCAGTCGTGCGTCGTCCGTTTGGACAACACGTCCAGCCTACCTCAGCTGAGTGGCGGCAAATATTTGAATCATTAGACTATTACAAATAAAGTAAATGGAATTTATTGGGGGAAAATGGGGTTTAATGTATTAGATCACAGTATCACGTGGCATAGATTACAGTATAATCATTATTTTACCATGAGACAGAACACAATACAGTTTGTGTTTTTCATGAGTTTATTCTCAAAACAATGTTCATAACAAGTATGCATACGTTTATATGTATCAATAGTACTCACATATATAACATCGATTAATGATACAATAATGTGAATTATAAATATAGCATTGCACTGTTTTGTCTTTTACAACAGAACATCTGAATTCTTTTTTTTGCGATGATTATTGCATATTAGAAATTTAACAACATTTTTGGTCTATGCAAATGTTACCTCCATTGGATGATCAGGAAGCCATAGCCAGTTAAAGTCCTTGAACATTTCCAAAAATGTCCTGGCTGTTATATAAATAAACATACTTTCACAATGAGCACCTCTTTAAAGACAAGTCAACTCACTTTATGTAATGTAATGGTAACATTCTCAGTCCAAGACTTAAACGTAAATACAATTGAAATACAATTACTATTTTCTTAAATCAAATGTGTTTCTTTTGAATTGGTTCTAAGAAAGGGGACAGGATGTGAGTTTTCGTTTTTAGTCCGAAGACACCGACCCCCCCTGGAGAATACCGGACAAATTGATCACTCAGGGTTTATTAGCTCCGTCTCTGTGTATCATGTGGGGTCTCGGCTCTCGTAGAGTTGATTCGATATGAAACGCTTTCCCCAACTCCGAATATGGGCACACACCATGCTCAGGGAGAGGGTTGGGGGAGAGATGGAGAGAGATGGGGAGGGTGGGGGAGAGTGAGATGGAAGGCCTCTGAGTCATTGGTCGTGAAATCCTATGTATACGATTTACTTTTTTTCATCATTACTAAAAACATATAAATATTAGTCTTTGCAGCAGCCATTTGTCAAATATATATTTGTTTTCAGTTTTGTTTTCAGTTTTGTTTTAAGAATGTTTTTCCTTTTTTGTGAAACTGTTGTGTTGCATACAAAGGATTTCGTGATTCCTAATTTGAATTGCTTCATATGCATTGTAAGTATTCATGATATAAATATTTATGTATGTTTTCAGATGTCGTACTAGAGATGCCAGAAAAATGGGAACCAATGGGAGAAGAGCATTTGAAATTAATCCTCCTTAATGAAACTTCACAAGAATATCAGGATGTCAAGAAAAACATCATGGAAACACTCTTGAATAAAACAATAATTTCCGTAAGCATCTTAAAAATAATGTTTGTTTGTCTGTAACGCTGGAAGGGTGCGGAGCGTGGCGGAGGGGTCATGACGCCAAGCTGGTGAGGTGGGGGGGAGGGGTTGATGGGGCAGCGGTGGAGGGGAGGGGTTGATGACCTCAGACACACTTTGCTGTTGGGGAGAAGAGTACCACGTCATACTCTTGGGTTATTTCGGTAAAATCACGTAGGTAGAAATAAAATAAAACGAATCACGACGTTTCGATCGCAACACAAGCAATCTTCATCAGGTGGAACAACCACAGCAAGAAGAAATGCTGAAGTGGGCGAGAGAGCTGCCGTGGCAAGAGGTTATACTGTATAGGTAAGAGAGGGGGGAGGCAAGGGGAGAGAGAGGGGGGGCGCTGCGTGAGTGCTAGTGGGAGAAGAAGTGAAGCTGTGGGGGGAAGTGGGCGGGGCTAGAATTGGGAAAGTAACTCGGAAAAAATTAACCCGTAAAAACTACGTTTTTCACTATAAATTGTTTATATGCGTGGCGGCTAGAGTCCTCTCGTCCTCTGGCTTGAGATGGCTGCCACCTATGGGTCAGATGATTGCCTGCCACCATTAAGCAATTGGTAATTAAATGTCATTTTTTTTTTCCTAAGAAGTGTAAAATTTAGGAAATTTTTTTTCACGAAAATTAATTGTCACGCACAACGAGTCGGTGTGGAAAATGTCAGCTCGATTGGATCACGGGAAGTGGATTAAAAACGACCGAAAGATTTGCACGGTCGTAAGCGTGCAAGCAAGCAAGTGAACTTAATATAAAGGATTTAAAAAAGGATTTAAAAAATGGCGACGAAGGTGGGATTCGAACCCACGCGTGCAGAGCACAATGGATTAGCAGCCCATCGCCTTAACCACTCGGCCACCTCGTCTCACGCACTCACACACGCAAGCACATACAACCAGAACCAGGATGAAGACTTGCACGCACATACATACATACAAACAGACCCCCCCCCACACACACACACACAGTCATACCAATATTTTTTCCTACGAAAATTAATTGTCACGCACAACGAGTCTGTGTGGAAAATGTCAGCTCGATTGGATCACGGCAAGTGTGTTAAAAAACTACCGAAAGATTTGCATGGTCGTAAGCAAGCAAGCACGCAAGCAAGCAAGCGAACTTAATATAAAGGATTTAAAAATAGACTAGTACCCGGAGGATATGATGGAAACAACTGCAAACAGTTTAGGCTTTACCTGGTTAATAACATCCTTCCAATAATTTCTCAATTTGTATCCATCTTCTCGGTTGAAGTTATGTCTATGTTTATATATCTGGATGGCTTCATGAACAAACCTTTGATAGTTGCCCGAAGGTTTGCAGAGTACCTTGGTCTCAGAAAAAACAATATCATGCGAGCCCACAGCGTTACAACAATGGTCAGCCACGGCAGAGGTATTGATTCTGCCGTGTTTCAGATCTGACTTGTGCTCACGAACACGGTCCGAGACATGTTTCGTTTCTGCAATGTAACTGCTACCGCAGGTACAACTCAGTTTCTAAATGAAGGTGTAGGCTAAGGTCGTTTAGTAACCTTATTAGAGACCCTGTTACATGAAAGAATACCAAAAAATGGTGATTGGCTATAAATGTATTGTAAAAGGATGACTGAGTCCACTGATTGTCTGACCTGATTGTGATGGAGGGTAAATCAGCATGCACCCCTCACACCAATACATAGTACTCTAATTAAGAGTGGACCAAAACCTTGTGGTTGACGGGATGTGTAAAATGTGCTTTTGCATTTCTATTGTGAGGGCCAGGTATTTGAAGATGTCTTGTCTGCTTATGTATTTTGTTATTTATATTCCCTATGATGCAAAAAAATGTATTTGTGCTCAGACTAAGATAAGAAATCAATTAAATCCACAGTCTAAGTTTTATTCCACATGCTGCCATTAGCTAGATTAAAACTAAAATAAAACTGACTAAATTAACATTGTTCTGACTCGATCTGATAATTATTTTGGGACATTTGGTCTCGTCAGATGCTAAATATGTTAATCACTTTCAGTTTTAGTTAAGTAGTAAAAACACATAGAACAAATATAGTAAACAGATAATATTTGGCCTTGTGCTTATATTGCGCAATGGGGACAGTTGTAGACTTTTTCAGGTCAACAATATATGAAATGCGAAATTTATATTGTCACATAATCTGAAAAAGATTGTGACAATTTATAACTGGGTATTGTAGGTTGTGTGGCTCAATGTTGATGGTCATGCAAAATTGCACGAATTTCCATCACTAATTTTGCAAAGTTTATGTTGAATGGGCATAATTGCACTATGGCTGGTCTTTAGTGTTCCATTCATGAAGGAGATATTATGATGCAGTTGGTGGTACACCAATATCTTCGAGGAATGTTAAAGCCAGGAGTTACAATGTTTTGGTCTCGTATTAGGTGTTTATTCTCGACATCCACGTTGTTCCACTTTGTTTGCCAGAATACTGATCTGCGTGAGATTATATGATGATGGCAACTCAGACCAAGAAGGGAGATCAGGACTGGAGTCAGCAGTGATGTACATTGTTGAGGTCTTGATTGATGGGTAGGTTGTCGTTGGCAAGAAAAAGTGTAAACTCGGTTGCAGTTTGCATGTCTCTGTGGATATTTGATGGCAGAATGTTTGTCAGAACAGCGAACCAGGGAACTGGTGTCGTTTCTAGTGTTCCAGTTATGATGCATATTGGGTTGCTTAAATTGTGCATCTTGCAGTTTTGTGCAAAAGCTCCCGCACCAGGCTGGAGCACGATAGATCAGTGAAAGGGCAGCAGTTCACAACATTGGTCGTGAAAGCCTACGTGTTAAAGTTCACAGGACATCAGCTGAAGAGCCCCAGGTTGTTCCTGAAAGTTTTTCTCGCAGTGCGATTCTCGATTTGGTCTTTTTCAGATCTGTTTCATGCTGGGCTTGAAGATCAGTCTACTATCCATAATAACCCCGATATATCTTGGAGTGGAGCCAATAGTACACTGTGTTACCACAGAAGGACACATCAACGGTTACATTTGCTGGCATTGATGTAATACATTGTATTGTTTCTTTACACATGTCCTTTTCAGATCAAACGAATTCAGAACTGGAGATTATATCAATGCTATATGATCATGAAAAAGTCAATGGACCAGAAGAATGAAGGAAAACAGAATGAACGGATTCTTTTCCATGGCACATGCAAAACATCTCTAGATAATATTAACAATTCAGGATTCAATCGCAATTATTGTGGAAAAAACGGTAGGCCTATATAATCGTATTAACAATATATCCACTACATTATAGTATACACCCTTGTTTAAAACAAGTATTTATTGTGTTCAAATATGTAACAATGTTTTAACAAGGTCAAATAACATTACATTGAATGTATGTATGTTGAACTTATTTTGCATCGAACATAGTCAACAGTGTGGGAAATGCTATCAGAGTGTATATACTATATTTATGTAAACGTGTTTATGTGTATTTGTTTATGCAGCATTACTATATATTAGCAGACACATACAATGTCTTGTTTGGTTTCTTTATCAATTTCTGGTATAGAGAAGGCGCAATTAGTGCAGCAGAGAGTTCTACTATGCTCTGTAGTGCAGGGTGACAGAAACACAAAGTTATGGTGGATGGCTGAAAGTAGAGGCATGGTGGCAGAGGTAGCAGGACATGTTGTAGCTAACCCTGCTGGCGATGGGAAGGCAGTGGAGGAAGCAGAGGGAGGCAAGCGAATCTAGCTGAGGGTGATGGACAATGAGGACGACACAGACGAGATGGTTTTGCAACCATTGGAGTTTCTTAAGGTTACTTTAGAAGTTAATTCCAGATTTGAAGTTTTCGTGACTGCAAGGATCCATACTCTTTGGTTCTTTCGGTAAAGTCACGGAGGTGAAAATAAAAAATAATAAATAACGAATTTTTTTTTTCACCTACGAGACTTTACTTGAGAATATCGAACAAATTGCAATCGTCGAGGCGGGGACTGGAATATATTGCTGGCAAGTATATATTTGTGATTTCGGTGGTGGTGGTGATGAGTGAACATAAATGTAGCTGTCAAATGATAAGGTGGAGTCTAGAGTGACGCTGAGGAACATGATGTGGTTAAATAAATGCACAGTGGGTGCCAGTGATTGATACATTAGAAGGGAGCGTGAACGTGGTAAGACGCTGCCTGGTGCCGATTAGGATGGCTTCAGATTTGGAATCATTGAATGAGATATCATGGGCCCAGAATTACTGCTGCTCAGTTCCAAAGGTATCGGTGGAATTGACAGAGGTGAAGAGTAGGGTGTCATCTGGAATAATAATTGACACCAAAGCACTCAATAAGACAACCAATTGAAGATGTCATATTGTGAGCCTACTGGAGATCTGTGAAAAAGACTCGCATATCTCGTAAGATTTCTGTAGTCTAAAAACAGATTCTGAGGAGATGTATTATTAAGAGCAATAAGCAGCCGCGAGATCACAATAGAGAAGACTGAACTACAGCATAAAGTCAATAATCTGCAATCAAATAATCCACAAATCCTTGTAATTTACGGATTATTGGTGGTTTGCAAGTGCTGTCATAATAATACGCAGCAGATTGAAAACCCTTCACGGACCACAAACTGCAATCTAAAGACTGAGTTAGCACAACTGAGGTCATATATTCAAATCTGAGCAGCCACCAGTGTTCTTAAACTATATTTCGATTTAAAGCTTTCGTGACTGCAGGGATTCATCTTCTTGGTTCTTTCGGTAAAGTCACGTAGAATGGAAATAATAAAATAATAAAAATAAAACATTCTAAAATAATAATCACGACGTTTCGGCCATAACGCAAGCAGCCGTCCTCAGGTGTCCTCAGGTGAAGACCACCTGAGGACGGCTGCTTGCGTTGTGGCCGAAACGTCGTGAGAATTATTTTATTATGTTTTATTTGTATTATTTCCATTCTACGTGACTTTACCGAAAGAACCAAGAAGATTCTTAAAATATAGTTAGGGGATTATAGCCCAGTCACTAATGACGACACAACTCCATCATACTAAATTATATTATTAGATTTTTCATTTAAATTCACATTCCTGTCTTCAGGTTTACATTTTTTGAGTTGATTGATATGTGACAAAAACATTTCAAGGCAATTAGTTTATTAGTCTGCTAACATACTAGTGTACCGGTTAGTATGTTGCAGGACAAACCTGCCAACCCGAGTTCGATTCCTGTTCACGGCCAACACCAGTGACGATTATCTGAACCGGTCCTGGGCCTCCCCTAGGTCGACCCAGCCTCAAATGAGTATCTTGTGTGGTGTGGAAACATTGCCACTGGGGAGACAAAGGCGGTCAGGTGTGGTGCTGGCCACCCACCGCCTCATGTTGGGGCACTTGCCCCAACAGTCTGTTAAGGCTATACGGGGGATTTGTGCTGTATCTGAATGCGTCTGTGTCTCTGTGTGTCTGTGTGTCTTTGTGTAAGTGTATTCATGTATGTGTAGGTCTTCGTTCATCTAATTTGTTATCACAGCTAATGTTAAATGTAAAACATGAAAACAAAATCCAGTACAAAATATCAAACTACACCCCACAAACTTTACACATTTAAAACAAAGGTAACTTTCTGCAATGATTGTTAAAAACCCTCGAGCAGTCTTCCAGGGAATCAAAATGACCAACTTATACATAAGTAAAGCACCACATTGTACCGCTATTTGTCATTTCATTGCAATTGTGAACTTCACCAAACTAGTTTGTGCTGGTTAGCGAACTCGAGGCAGTGCAGTGAGAAACCACCCTGCCACCGTTTTACCGTGTTCGGTTGTTTACTCAATGATATTTTTCCCACAATTTCTTAAATAGCAAATGCATATGACATAAAAAAAATTACTTATGAATCTTCTACTTACAGGTACTGTTTATGGAAAGGGGGCATATTTTGCAAGAGAAGCCATTTATTCTGATTCGTACGCCACACCGGATGCCAAAACCAGTCACAAGCATATATATCAGGCTCGTGTCCTGACTGGTGACTTCTGTGTGGGAGACACGCGGATGGTGGAGCCTCCATTAAAAAAATCAAGTCAAGTTGAACGCTTTAACAGTGCTGTCAATAACAACAGCTCACCAACTATTTTTGTCGTATTTCATGATGATCAGGCTTATCCAGAATACTTAATAGAATACCTTTAAAATGTGAACAGCGCTGCCCTCGTATTTGTGTGGGGTGTAACGTCAGTGAATTAAATGCGAGCTACCGTATATGGTTTTCTTGCTTTGAAACTCGCTGGCTTATTTCAAACAACAACATTAACAATAATATAACATATCAACATCGACAAAGATCTGACATGTGAACAGCCATTAATTATGTGACATTACCAAAATTATTGCTCATGTCATCATCAACAATGACATCAAAAGTCTAAGTGTAAATATGAATGTTAATATCAACACCATATGTATAAATATTAGCAAGATAACTGTGTAACTGTTTTACAACTACAACTAAAGCAATAATATAATCACAAACATAACATCTACAACCACGACATAACCACAACTGCCGCAATACAATCATAACCACAACTGTGTTATGACCATAACCACACATATAAGATTATAACCACTGTGTAAGCACAACAGTCATACTATAACCACAACTGACACATAATGACAACCACTTTATGATTAAAACCACAACCATAACCACTTAAGCACAACAACCTCATTATAACTACAACCATAACCGCATTGTAACCACAATAACCACATAACCATTCTAATCACAACCACCACCATCAACTATTTCCACGACAATATACAGTACCTACAACTTCACCATATTGTAACCACATAACCACAACCAGCACATAACAAGCATTGGACCAACAGCAGCCAGAATATAACCACAATTAAAATATAACGAGGGCAATGCAACCACAACATTCAATTTATTATATGTATTCGCACACCTTTTCCACAGTTTTGTGGGAATGTCCTAGGAAAGGTGTTATATGTTTTCGGTGTTATGCATTTTTCAACGGTTTAACTTAACTTGGTTCCTGTGTCGTGATCAATTCTTGTAATCTACATTTCGTTCACTTCCCGTTGTCCAATCAATTCCACATTTAGCACACGTACTCAGACCCGGTGACAATGCATGCCTGGATCAAATTCGGTATCAATTAATCAATTCGCTCTTTTAAGGCAAAAAAAGTAACATTTTGTATGGACGCCTTATTATTTATATATATATTTGTGTAGGTCAAAAACGCCGCGGTCCCTAAACTCTCGAATCGTCTCGCCCAAGAAGCAGGCGCCACGTGCCTCTCTCGGGCGCCACGTGTTACGGGCACCCTCACTCCACACAAACAGAAGTTGTACATTTGTAAAGTTATCAATTAATTCAAGTAAGCGTTGATGTGGGAGCAGTCGCCGCGACATTGATGCACTTCTCGACCGTGAGTTAAACGAAGTTGTGAATAACACCGTTGTTAAAAAAAAAACAGTTTTTAAGGAGTTTATTCACCAATGGGTTTGTTAAACTATGCTTTTAAAACTGAAAACTACTTACCTGCAGTACCTCTGTTCAAATACACTATCGAAAAAAATATTTACACCACCTCTGTCGATCATCGTGTTTCTCAGTGTGGATTTGTTAACACACTTTGTAAACAGTACATTAAATAGTACGCGTTTTCAATTCGCTATTCATATTGTAACAAGCGTTTATACCAATGTTACTCTACAGAGCAGTGGGTCGACGCTCCTCTTATCCGCATTGATACGAGCGGTACGTGGGGACTATGGCTAAACCGCAAAACCTATCTGCACAGATGCATACGGACAAGAGAAGTATTATCAAATAGGAGTAATCAACGGTGCAACGCATCTCATCTGTTAAATATCTGCAGGTAATAGGATTGTCATCGATTGAACCTGGCTGCAGACATTGGTAGGTCACAACTAATAATGAAGATAAGAGAGCAGTTTCACTGTAGCATGCAATAAAGGACTTAAGTTGTGTAGGCAGTTTGAGCAGCTTTGGATGAGACTTATGATCCTGCTCGTACCCGAGCACGGAGCGCAGCATTCGCTTGTTCAGCTCTTGTGCGCATTCGTCCTCGCCACCGCCGCTGCGCTTGGACACGACACGACAACAGAATGATCTGCGCCAGGCGGGTCGCGGCGTTTATGTGCGCGGTGGGACGGAGTCGCCAAAAAGACATTGATGAACTACGATTTTGACTTCCGTTTATTCGGGACCCTGGGGTCCCCGCCATAAGGTTCATATACGGTCCAGTATATATCACAAATAACACAACTCATTTGTCAATGACACTGTGGTCTTCGAAGGGAAAGTATATTTTTGGCGACATATCAGGCAATGGTCCTTCACAACACAAATAAAGAGGTCAGAGAGAAAGAGTGGACAAGGGCTGGAGACTGCACTTAATAGCATGGCGCCTGCCTGACAAGAATTAAATGTTTCTGATGAAAGTTTTAAAAACGGCGTATGAATAGTTGCCCATCAGTAAAACATCAACAAGTCTTGCCAGTGTCACTTCCTTTTCCTCCAACCCCTTCCATGTTTATTGTAACAAAAGAACGGCCAACCCTGTGAAATCCCAACAATAACCTTTGTACATAATGACGCACGCGACCTGTAACGCTGGACAGTATGCTATTCGATGGATTGTATCATGCGTCGGAAATATCAACGAACATATTTTTTCAAATATTACTGAATAAACTAATTTTTATAATAAGGAAAATTATCAAATGTTGCTGGTATATTGCATTCTTGGGTGGCCGTGTTGTAGTCAGGTGACCGGAAACGGCATAATGCACTGTAATACATTCCTAGGATCAACTAATTTAAACAGGATTAGAGAAGCTTTCAAGCCCATTAAAACTACCGCATTTATACTTTAGTAGACACATTTAACACATAACAATTAGATCACCAATGAGGAATTTAATGTTTAAATTAACTTTAAAAATTTTTCGTAACCTTAAATTCATAATAAAGGTTTTTGGGATAGATCACATTATAAATGCGTCGCAACCCTCCACCACCCGACACGGCCAATCAGTAAAAAATGTGTCACGTTGACAAAACGCCAATTCGTTACTTCTTCAGCCCACCGGTGTGTTTGAAGAGTGAATCCACAACATTTAGAATTTGAGTACGACGTTTCGCTGGTAATTATATCCAGCATCTTCGGGCGATTTGCCAGAATAGTTCAATTGTAGATCAAGTTATTGGAGAAGATTCTGTAAACAATTGTGAAGCAGGTTTGTACCTATAAATGCAAGAAATTTCTGAGGTTATTTTAATATTGTGTTGAGTGCTCCTTGACTGAACTACAGTACACTTTAATGGAAATAATTCAAGCTGAGAGACGTTCAACCTCCGCTTGTGCAACATGTCCTGCATGCGCCACTGCATTGGGTGAAAGATACTGATGGTGCAGCCAACAATTGATAATGCTTGAGAAAGTGTGGTCGAATTGAATAGTTCTTGCCCATGAGGAGTACTTTGGATTTAGACGAGTTTACAATATCGTTGAACCAGAACCAGTGCTCCGTATTCGAGGTGCCAACTTGCAGGTTCTGCATATTCTGGAGCAGGAAATGTGGCTGTGAAGAGCTGGCTATAGTCCGGCCGGTGGCGAGACGAGGTAGGCGATGATGCAGTCCGGACTCCAGGCTTCCCACACCGACCCCGAGTCCTCTCGCTGCCTCTCCTTATATTGCTCTCGGCGGAGCTAGGCTACGCCTGTAGCCACGCCCCTCGTAGAACCTTCTCGATGCTTCCTGTACGTACCTACGAGCTCCGCACATTACCTTTGGCCCAGATGGAACCCTTCCCTCTGATTGGATTTGAGTAACCCAGCAGTGACTGCAGCCCTTCGTCATCCCTTAGGTGGCGCTCTCGCATTACACATGCACAAACTAACGCCACGTTGTACAATTGTTTATTCGTGACAGTGTCAATCTCTACCTGCCTTTTTCTGTCTGTGTCTCTCCGTTCTCTGAATCTCTGTACTGTATTTCAATGTCTGTTTTATATCTCCACAGTATAATCTAAACAGCCTCTCTGGAGTGAGCCCCTCTGCCCCCATCTAACCTTCCCTCTTATTTGCCTGAGGCTATCTTGCATGCACAGTACTTACAACATTATCTCTGGTGTGGAACGCTGCGGATAATGGGAGGAATTTATCCGTTCCCGAAAAGAGATTTAAAAACCCAGGGGATAAACACACAGGGGCACAAACTACAGGAATGACAGGTTGTTGGGGCATGGTGTTTATCCCCATTCGCAGGTTCTTACTTTTCTCACACCTTAAAAACAAATTACATTACACACACGAGAACAAATTCTCCTTTGTGTAAAAACATATAGTAAAACCTTACTCCTACCTGATGAAGTGGCGGTCTGCTGGTAGCCGAGCATGAAATGGACATCTGATTGTGAGCGTCGCCTCCAACTGCCCAGTAGCTTACTTCACGAACCTGTACACATATAGTGTATGGTAATATTGCAATGTTTAATCCATACAACATATACTGCACTGGTAGCCTATGCCTAAAGAGTGTTGTATTAAACACCACAATATCAATGAAAGGTTATCTATTGCCCTCATCATCACCGTCACTTGTCACCAATCCAGCACGAAACACCTACAGCACGACCAATATGGGAACGGCAAGCAGCTTAACCTAAGCCGTGCTAATCTACAGACACGCTCATCATCTTCCACACATCACGAGCCACATCCTCTGCCCGTGACACACCAACCAGCGAGCTGCACCACTGCACCACTCAGCATGACCGACAGGCTGATGATGGTCACACCAGCTGGCTGGGGCTTTGTATTGATGGTTTTTTACGCTATTAAAGTCTTATCGACATTATTTTTTCTGTCCGGGTAGCGCCCTGGCACGGCACTTCATTATTAGCCCTGGGGAAACGTCAGTTCGGCCCATCATCACCCCCTGGGGTCATTAGAATTGTTTCAGCTATTACATTCATGTGCATTATTCAGACTCGGCTCCGTCATAGGAATGTAGAATTCCCACCACTGGCCCAGGACGTTTGTCGTTAACTGTGATTACAGTACACTAGTCCATCTCTTGCAGGTAGCTAATACTTTCTCAATCGCCTTGGCCCTGTGTCTCTGCCCGAGTGTCCCTCCCAGCACTGCCCCATCGGGGCCGACCTTGCTCTGCCATGCCCATTCATGTCCAGCACCGTCTCCCTGCGCGTGCCGTCTTCCTCTTGTCCCTCGTCTAGCCGTGCCCTTGCCTATCCCTTCCCCTGCACACTCGCCTGCATCCCATCCCTGTCCACCCCATCCCCACCGCTAGCCCCGCCGCAGCCGCGACCCCCCGGGTACCGAATCGTGCTCTCCAGGGGGACCCCCTCGGCGTAGACTTCGTCCAGGGCCGCGTCGATTCCTCCCGCAGACTGGCGGGGCTCCGCGCTCCCTGCAGTCGGATCCCCATCGTCCGCTCCGACCCGTTTGTCCCCGGCGCCGGCATCAGCCCGAGCGGCAGAATTAGCAGCAGCGGCAACCTCTGCCATGTTCTGAGCGACAAATTAACGTATCGGCAGCAGGAGCAGCAGGAGCCAATTCCTCGGAGATGAAAGCACAGCGCGTCTGATGCAAGCGGCAAGGACAGCCAGGATGAATGAATGAGCCGAGCGCCAGTGTGCTTGCTATTCCGCATTCATTTCAACGGCATTAGGCGCGACTCGCTTTTGACGTTAAAGCGCTGTGGCTCATTCGCTCGTCACGGAGTCGCCGGTCGGTCGGGATGCACGCGCACGCGGACGCGCATTGTGACCTCGCAGCAGCAGCCAGATTTGCTGTATTCACTTGATGCAGCAAATCTGGCTGTGACGGTCCCACCTGATGACGAGACTTGTGTTGCCTCCGAAACGTCGTGTTTTTTTATTAATTTTTATTTCATTGTTTTACCTACCTGACTTTACAGAGAACCCTGGAGGTGGACTTAATAATACTTCAGAAGTACCTCAAAGGATGGCGCTTGTAGCACGACGCGGCAAAGACATTGGTGTCTTTCTATATGAGCAACATTGAAGCCTCGAGGTCACTCAAGGTCAAATTCTGTTATGCCCCTGTTAACCATGACCAAAACCCCCCAAACTCCGGAGCCACCCTTGACTATTGTCATCACCTCGAAGCCACCGGCAAGAAGACGATATCCGGGGTCAATGTCATTCAACAGCTGGCATGCACCTTCTGGGGATGTGACACTGGGACTATAAGAACATCAACGCAGGTCTTGGTCCATTCTACGGCAGAATATAGTGCTCAGTCTGTCTGGTGCAACAGCTCTCACATCGGGCTTGTTGACACTCAAATCCATGCTGCACTGCACGTTGTAAGCTACTCCATAGAATCTACATCTGCAGTGGCTGCCAGTACTTGTGGACATCTCACCTTCGAACATCCGACGAGATGCTGCAACACTTTGGGGCATAACGATATCTTGGAATATCCAAATCTCCTGCATATTGACATAAAATGCCCACCACCCTTCTGTCTAAAATCGAGACATTTTGAACATATTCCTCGATTTTATTTCATCCAAAAAGGACCCCCCGCCACCCAATGGTGCGAGATGTGGGAAAACAGTGGGGTTCAAAACAAAAACCTTATTGGAGGCCTGATGAAGGAACAGACGGGTTTCTGCCCCAACAACAGTCGACCACTCTTAGCCATGTCTGAACAACACGTGAAATGTGTGGATATTTGCTCCATAATTGTAAGATCAAGAACTCACCAAAATGTGAATGCAGTGAGGTGCAAACCATCAAGAAAATCACTGATGACTGCCCAATGCAACACGCATATATTCTGGTGGATCAAGTTGCCTCCACTCAGGTCCATAGATGCCGTGGAATGACTTACAATATAAAGAGATGCAAATTGTAGCCTATTGCTTTTTTAAATTCAGTATAAATGAATATCTACTGTTTCTGGCTCTGACTCCCCTTCTTCCGTCAGCTTTGCAAGGACAGCAAAGCTGCCTAGCTGTTTAGATTAAATTGCCTGCATGCCTCAGGGATCATCATCTCTGTATCAGAGCTAGTCATGGGTCCTCCAGCTTCCTTACTCTCTATATTTACTCTAACATCCTTAAAAAAATCGTCTTGAATTTACTGTAATTATCATTGTGGCACACTAGGAATGGATCACTCTTTTAATTATGTCCTTGTGCAGCAAGGGAGTAAAGTGTGGTTCTGTGAAAATCCTGATGTGCTGTGCAGTGCATCAATGCACGTGTGTACAGCAGCATGCGATGACTGAGTTGGGCCTGTAGGTGGCTGGCAGGGTTATTGAATGACCGCGCGGATACACCAGCCACATGGTTAATGGCGTCTCAAAAGAATTGCTGTGTGACACGTGCTGGTGCATTTTACAGGTAAAGGACCCAAAGGTTGTTTTTGATCGTTATATGTTCTAGACTTGTTCTAGACGTTAAGCTTGGCTTTGAATTGTTCGTTTGTGATATATGCAATTAGAGGCGTTTTAGCACTGCATTGTAATGGGGTTTGACGCACTGTAATTACTTACTGTCATTGTAATTCTCTAACTCTAATACTGTTTAGTCTATAACCATGCCCATGTACCCAGAGTACGACTACTTGCAATGCTATTGAGAATAGAACACATAAAAAGTAGTAAGCTGTACAATGGTGACATACAGTACGTATACTGTACACATACAGTACATATAATGGGTGTAAGATACCGATATAAGTGGATGGTATAGATAGACATACAGCTTAGGATTAAAGGAATATTCGAATAGTGATGTGTAAATGTGATTGTCAAAGACAAAGATCGTTTATCAGTAGTAGAATTGGGTTTAAGAGAAAACTGTTAATGATTAACGGGACTTGGACACCAGTGACATGGTTAATGGCGACTCGGGAGAATTGCTGCGTGTGACACACGTGCTGGTGCATTTTACAGAGTGACGGTGCTGTTCTGCACAATATTAATATTAACAACCACAATGTGTCTGGCCTCGATTTGGAGCACCTGCCCACGTCCTTCATTTCGAGTGTGCAACACGTGGCTAACCAATAAGAAGCCACCCCGTGACAACACCCTAGGCAGAAATTACTCCAGTGGCTGGTAGAGACATCCCCGTGGCATCCGAAGGTGAACAGGAAATGCCTCCGACTCGCAGCCCACGCAGCGTTACCTCAGGTTCCCGTAATGATTGAAGGTGTTGGAAAAGATCGCCAGGGAAGGAGCTCAGGCGATTCTGATCGTCCTAAACTGCCCCAAAATTATGAAACTGCTAATTATAATGCTTTAATAGATACCTTCACGGATACTGTGTAGTGTATATATTGGGATACCATCAGAAACTACTTTGAGTCAATTCCTACCCGTTTTCAATCTAATTTTGAAAACATTTAAGGCGATTTGAACTAGTGCGTGTGTGTGTGTGTGTTCATAATAGCACCAACTCAACGCGATGAGAAGCGAATGCGCGCACCAAGTATGAAAACTTCAAATGAAAAACGGCAAGTTCGATCAGTGTCAAAATTCCCTTTATTTGGGATGCAAAATCCCTATCACCAGACACCCGCCCAATTGTGAAAGTGAATATTGCTTCATGAACAAAAGCACATTTCAAGCAACAACTTACACACACTCTCCCACAGATATAAGAGGAGCCTCAATAAATGGATAAAGCCAGCAACTTTGTTTAAAGTTACACTTCTGAAAACAATGTGAAACATATCAAGACCCCTGAGTCACGTGGGTATTTGTCTTGTTCTGTGCTTTGAATTGCACGTGTGGCGAATGTTCAATAAAACTGTGATCTCACCAAACACAATCCACTCCCCCACCCCCTTGCTCGAGTGGAAAACGAAATGTACAAAGTGCAAGAACCGTGGATGCAGACAAAGCGTGCGGATGCTTGCACGTGAAGAGAGACCACCCACCTCCAACTCCACACTGAGCTTCAACGTTAAGGCAAGAAGCTGTGAAAGCTCGGGGCACACGGACACAACCGTTCCCCCCCCCCCCCCCGGAACACTTGTTTCATCTTTGCAAATATACAAAACAATTCGTTAAAATGACGTGCGGTAAACAACAGGTTGCCATGCCACACGAAGAAGTAAGCATAAAGTGTGACACACACCCCTAGACGATTTCGCCGTGAGGTGGAGGATTGTCCTCGTGCAACTCCTTCAATCAGTTCTCAGAGCACAACGCCATGCCAGGGACTGCTGCCAGAAATTTACACCCCAGAATTACTTCTGGAATAACCTCACTTGGCTTGTTTTGTCACAAGTCAGTCTGGAGATATATTTATAATTAATTCATCGGATGAACTTAAGTGTATAGACGAATGTATGGACAGTTGTTCTGTGCAGCCGGTGGAGATCCCAGCTGAAGCCAGGATCTCAGCGGTGCTCACGCGGTGCTCACGCGGTGCTCACAAAATGGGCATTTTCCCCCTGAGCAAAAGTATGAACATTTAGTTAGCATCTGCATGTGTGTGCATGCAGGCTAAGCGTAAGATGTGATTCATATTTTTCTTTATAAATATGGTACATGTGATGGATACTGTCAGAGAATGCATTCTAATTTCATGCTATCAGCGTCTGAGGATGAAGGGAAAAGCTTGAAAAAAACTGCATCTTGTTTCTGAACAAACTTGAACAATAACCAAACCTGTTGCCAATAGTTCATCAGTCGGCCTCTCTTTACATCAGCCACAACGTGGCAGTCCTTCACGCTGTGTGAGCAGCAGTCATGGGAAAAGATTCACTCCCAAAGTCCGCATCCCCCAGCGATTCGATTGTCACAACTTGGGGGTTGCGATTAGATTCAAGAATACGCTTCGTCTCGATTGCAGTTTTCTTTCTCCTTTAGAATAACCGTGACGCATCATTTGCAAACAACAAATCAGAAACATCTCTTACATGCGCGCTTTCGATGTACGTATCACTGAGCGCAAGCATCAACGTTAATCGATGCATCGTTACGTGGATAGTAAATAATAACTGTGGCAGGTGGTTAACTTCATATCATACAATATATTCAGACTATTGTATTTTGTCATCACAGATGGACTGGAGTAAATTAAATATCATGTGTTTTTTTACAATGCTAGTTTTGCATATCCATAGGGGACCTGGCTGAAACCATCAAATGTTTAAGTTATGACAGAGTGGTTTAATTTTTGAGCAAACAAAGCATGAATTGTATTCCAGGATATCTGGATCATTGTTCTGATATGAGTGTAGCATTAGCCCTCTGAGCAAGTCAGCCACCTCTTTTTTAAAAAATGAGGAAAAAGTGCATTGAGTGTGCCACATCAAAAAAATGATGCACGATTTAGGTTCACACCTTCAGGCCATGAGGAATTCTTTATTCCCAACGAGCTTTGCTTTCACAGTTCCAAACAGTGCACCAAATAATTCCGTACACATCTTTCTGCATGGCTGAGAATATGAAACATAAAAACAAAAACTTTTTATTTGGCAACAAACTCGGGCAAATGTTCACCGATGGGAGATCACGAGCTTAGAGCGTGGGCATCCGCACTGCCGTGAGAGCGCACAGAGAAGGCCCTCTTGACCGGCCGGCAGCGTTGCGGGTGGAGCAGCGTGGAGAACCCAGACATGCGGCCACAGCGAGGGGGAGCAGGAGGAGGAGGAAGTCCACACGCGGGCTCGCTCTGCTGAAGAAACACGAGAGACAACTCGGTTGGCAATCGCGAAGACCGTACGCAGGAAAACTGCTCGAGACATTTTATTTTCTGAAGAAGACCTGAGAAACGGGCACATTCTGAATGTCATGTTTCTGCTTACATTTCTGTATTCAGAAAAAAACATTGCAGTAGAGGGGTTTGTTAAATACATTAATTTGTTAAAAATACACAACCCTGGACTGCAGTTGACTACCCGGCAAGATGTAGCCTCATAAGCTGGACGCCCCGAGATCTCAACCACACGATATATTTATAATTACTTAAAGACATTAGTGTAATTAAATTTCCCAAGGCTCTCTTCAATTATTGGAGAACATTTAACTACATAAATGCTAATCTGTCACGGTCCCTTCAGAACATCTCACTTTAAATACATATTTAAAAAATAATTTCACCAAATTCGATCCCTGTGGCGATATCGGTGTCACGTGACGAGGTGAAGTATCCAAATCTCTCGCACAGCATTGAAGAACGACTCACAGAAGCGTATAACACAGAAGCGTATAACACAGAGCTGCCTCGTCGTTAGGTTCCACACAATAATAGCGGCACTGTTCGCCACACCCTACCAGAGAAAGGCATTTGTAGCAGCCAAACAGACAAACCAATACATTTAGACTTAAAACTTTCGTGACTGCAGGAATTCATATTCTTTGGTTCTTTCGGTAAAGTCACGTAGATAGACGTGACCTTACCGAAAGAACATGAATTCCTGCAGTCACGAAAGTTTTAAGTGATAACAATACCAATATATTGTATTATTGCTATACTGCCATCTACTGGCTACTTTAGCCACAACTTTTAACTCATCCACAGGCGGACCATTTACATTAATGCTTTTCTGTAACAATTATTTTTCAAAAGACAAACTAGAACCAATTTCAACTTCAATGAGTCATCAGCCATGCATATGCTAATGTAATGATGAAGCAAACCCCTTTGGACGGCAGCACTGACCAACATAAGAGAACAACAGAATGTGTATCGCATGCCTTGTTTAATACTTTCACAAATATTTTGCTGCGAGTCATTCATTAAAAAATATGCTTAAGTTAAAACTGTAGTTCATAGAATATAGCCAAGTGAAATTTAGTTTTAAAAAAAACCCTACGGGGTTTTGTGCATTCATTGGTGACGGCGTTGAGATTACTGGGTTCGATACACTTGAGAAATTGATTAAAATGTTGGCTCGCTGGCCACAATCAAAACCATGAATCTCAGCATTAACCCCTTGAGCAGACCACCCCCTCCCAGAGGTCTTCCCCCTCTACCTTCTCAGTTCCTATTGCAGGAAAGTTGAGTGGCATTTCATCAAGCGTGTGACCAACCTCTTTCCAAGCAGCGCATCGTCACGGCACGGCAGTCGGCGCGCCCCCCCCCCCCACGCAGCGAGCGCGGCTCCGTGCGCCTTTCTCTCTGCCGCCTCTGCCGAGCCGCACGTCGATAAGGGTTGGCCAAAGTCATCGCCAAGCAAATGGCAGCGGGAGAGAACATGAATACGTAGAGACCGTGAATACGTGGCACTTCCTCGGTCTCGCGTGGCGACGGTCACGTGGGTTCCCCCCTCGAGCAGTCCCAAGGGGTTAGATCCAGGGGCTCCACAACAGGGAACGGACAGCGGCCATCGCTCTCGCGCTGCCGAACCCGGCCGGGCGGGGGCAGCTCGCGGCCCATCCCTCACTTGGCCGAGGGTCCTGGTCGCGCGCCGTTCCTGAAGTGTGGCCGGGAAGTCGTGGTGGGGTTCGGAGCGAGGGTGGAGGTCGCGCTCGTGACGGTGGCGGCGGCGGCGCCGTGCACGGTCGGCCACGACAGGCTCCGCGGCTGCGCGCAGGCCGGCGGAAGCGGCTCCGTGGGCGAGTGCGGCGCCGAGCTGTGGCTGGCACGGCCCTGCGGCCGCGTCGTTCTGCTACCGACGCCGGCGCTGTGCTGCTGCTGCTGCTGGTGCGGAGCGACTAACCGGGGACGCGAGGCCGTGCCTGGCGCCGACGCCGAGCCGTTGACCCGAGCGTGCGCAGTCACGGCCGCGTGCGGACCGTGCGCTGCCGTGGCGGTCCTGGCGGCGGGCCTCCCGTCGGCGGCGTGCGGCCGGCGCACGGGGTGGGTGCCGATGTGCGTGACGATGCTGGGCTTGCTCGGTGGGTGGGGGCGAGCCCTGGCAGCTCCGCCCGGCTGGCCGTCCTGCGGGCAGCACGTCGCGCCCGGCTTGGGCGTGGTCATCACGGCGCTGGGGTAGAGGCGCGCGTGCAGCGTCTCCGTGGAGCTGAGAGACTCCAAGTTTGGCGGATTGGGCGGCGATCCGGCGTGCCGGTCGGCGGGCGTGCCGGCACGCGTCGCGGGTGAGGGAGAGGGCGAGGGTGGTTTCGAAGCGGGACGGGAGTCCAGGGGACTCGGGCTGGACACAGACGTGAGAGAGAGGCTGAGCGAGGAGCCGGGTGAGGTGGTGGTGGTGGTGGTGGCGGCCGGGAGCGTGTGCGGACCGCCGGGGGCGGTGGGAGACGGGGACAGAGAGGGTCCCGGAGACGGCGACGGTGGCAGGGGCAGCGAGCAGGGCAAGGGCGGGCAGGGCTTGAGGGAGATGGGCGAGGGGGGGTACACGAGCGACACGTGCACTCTCTCCGAGCCCGTGCCGTCCCGCGGGCACACCAGCTCCGTGACGCCCTCTGGCCGTGGCTGGCTGAGCAGCTCGCCTGCGCCCACGAGGGATACACAGCGGCAGTGGTCAGGTGACATCGTATGAATCGCAACATTCTATCCATCTTGTTAGGAAATGACCGTGAATAACGACACCAGATGTACTGAAAAAGACTCCCTCAATATATGGTGCTACATCAAATTCTCAGTCCGAGGATGAGACAAATTAGGTGTATTTTATTTAACGGGTTTTCTCAAGTCATCAGCTACGGAGCTGAGATCGTGAATTTACTCCAGTGAGCACACATTATAACGACGAATCCACATTTGGATACGGGCAAAGGGTACCGGCATCCAATCGGTGATCGCACACTCGTGCCTCAATTACGCTTTGGGTTATTCTCTCTCTCCCTCTTTGAAGCCACCAGTGACCATGCTGAGATCATCAAACGAGTTACCCTCGAGGAATGCGACTAAAACTGGGCACGGGGATGGTGCTCACATGTCACGGGATGGAGCGTGTTGGGATGGAGCGAATTGAGGTATGTTGAAATGTTGGCTGGGAGCCAGTTGTCTGATCTCATCAGCGCCGGTTCGGTGCCCCGACACGAATGAGCCCTGTGTGAGTCACCGGGCCGCCACCTCGTTTCCAGTGTCTTCCTACTCATGCGAGCGTGGGGGGGGGGGGGTGCATCTGTGTTGGCGTCTGTGCGTCGTCGTTTAAAGAATCCCACAGCACTCTAGGGGTTGGTGGCAGTTAATCCATCAGGACAACCACTGTTGCCTCCATACATGAGAGCACCACGACTATTGTTACTTCACCTCTCATTTTTTTCAAATATTTCAAATGCACAATTCAAAGCGACACGTAAATGTGCCAGTAAAAAGGGGGAAACCTATTATCGTAATTTGGTACTGGCAAAGGAGGTCCCATGATGTAAATGTGCACCAGTTACTGTGATTTCAAGAGTAAAACAAAAAGTAGTTACAGATTAATGTTGGAGTATAACTGGTCCACAGTGGCCTAGGCATGTGAACGATGACGTTATTGCGCCTTCACAATCCACCTCTGAGCACATGGCTCACTCCACACCTCCGACTGGCATGGTTGGCTACATACAGGTGCGAAAGAAGTTCAACATGCGTACGTACATTCCCCACAGCAAGTTCAGGATGAATCGTATTGGGAGTTGAAACAATGATTTTGTGCCAAATGCTCCTGTGGTGAACAAGGTGACCACGAGGCTGAGACAATGATGATAAATGTTATGTCTCTAATAAAATATATAGCCAGTGTAATATCACGGGTTATGAACACAATGGCTACACAACGCATTATGATCAACATATTTAAGTTGTTAAATGCACGTGCACTCTTAAAGAAGACTCAACGAGACGCAGACTGATCGTGATGCTTTCGCATAAATGAGCAGCGCGTTACATCATTTCTTGAAACAAACAGAACGAAGGAAAGTGATAGCATGACCATGATGCTGCATGAGATCACAACAACAACAACAACCGGCAGCGTGTTTCACTTATATGGCGCTACGTCCGGAGCACATTTGCGTTCATGTCACACAGCCGTGACACTGCCGCCCTCAGCTCGTGCGTGACGAGACCCGGCACGAGAGTTCCACATCGCCGACGGCAGGGGGCACAGCGTCGCCACGACCCGCGAGCGGACGCAACGATGCCCCTGCGTTGTCCGCATGTACGGCGCGTTCAAATTCTTTAGCGCCGTACGTAGCCAACCGTGCCCATCGGAAAGTCTGGTAAGCGTTGAAGCAGCGGAGCATCTTGGCGTTTGTCAATTTGTATGCCCGGGAAATTTAAGAGTGAAGCAGGAGGAGGATTTCTCCACAAATCTGGCTGTTGCCTAATGAAGCTGGTTGTAATTACTGGCGAAACGTCACGGCACTCAGATGGTAAATGTTGTGGCTTGGCTCTCCAACACAACCTGTGTGCTGTACTAGTGACGAATTGGCACGTTCTGTTTACGTGACAACCCTTACTAGTTGGCTGTGTCGGGTGGTGGCCGGTTTAATGACACATTTATATATTGACGCGATCTAACCCCAAAAAACCCTCTGTGGATTATGGGAATGTGACGATCGTGCGAATGAGTGTGGAGGAGTTACATTGAGTGTGGAGGAGTTACAATGAGTGGAGTTACAATGAGTGTGGAGTTACAATGAGTGTGGAGGAGTTACAATGAATGTGGAGGAGTTACAATGAGTGGAGCGGGCTAAAGTTAAGCCAACCCAAGAATAGCGAGCGAGTGAGCTTACGTTCGCTAATGTCGCTGAGCAACACGTGGTGTTACGGTGGCTAACAACAGCCATGCAGCTTACGTCTACAATATCAAGAGAGTAAGAACATCATCAATGGTGCGTCGCGGGCGACCACAGCACTTTGACGGATGAAGGTGGCAAGACGTTTACGAGATGGATCGAAAGGACGACTTTATTTTCATGCAGTGATTAAAGTTGGGATCAGGATCTAAATGTTGACATAACGAGGTGAACAAGAGCGGCACAGAGTGGGCGGTGTATATAATAAGAACACCCCACTAAGTGTATATAATAATAATAACACCCACTAAGTGTATATAATAAGAATAATAACACCCCACTAAGTGTATATAATAATAACACCCCACTCGGATCGGTGGATGGGAGACGCAGATCGACTGGCAACGGAAGCGGAACAAAATCGTAACGTGTGTGGTGTGTTGTGTGTGTGTGTGTTGTGTGCGTGTTGTGTATGTGTTGTGTGTGTTGTGATGTGTGTGTTGTGATGTGTGTGTGTGTTGTGATGTGTGTGTTGTGATGTGTGTGTGGTGTGTGTTGTGTGTGCTATGTGTTGTTTGTGTGTTGTGTGTGTGCGTGTTGTGTGTTGCGTGTGTGCGTGTTGTGTGTGTGTCGTGATGTGTGAGTTGTGCGTCCGTGTTGTGCGTCCGTGTTGTGCGTCCGTGTTGTGTGGTGCGTGTTGTGTGTGCATTGTGTGTGTGTTATGTGCGTGTTGTGTGTGCGTGCTGTATGTGGTGTGTGTGCGTGTTGTGATGTGCGTGGTGTGATGTGTGTGTTGTGATGTGCGTGTTGTGTGTGTGTTATGTGTGGAAGCACAAAGAGAGACACGTTGGGAATTAAGAAGTAAAACAGAAACAGGGACACATGGACGAGAGAACAAATGCAAAAAGGAAAGTAAGTGAACTTGGGCAGGATGCATCCCGGCTAGAAGGGACGGTGGTGGCCGATGGGCGAGACTGGTGAGGGATCGACAGCCAAAGGAGGGAACGAGGAGAGGATTCTCCATCTCCCCCACGCTCCCATCGGCAAGACTGCCGCTCCCTGTCCACGTGGACACAAGACACGAGAAGAGGCTTCTTTTGAGTTAAAGCTTGCGTGACTGCAGGGTTTCATATTCTTGGTTCTTTCAGTAAAGTCACGTAGAAGGGAAACAATAAAATAATAAAAATATAAAACAATAAAAATCTCACGACGTTTCGATTGCAACACAAGCACACATTTTCTTGCTGTGGTTTTCACACCTGATGATTGCTTGTGTTGCAATCGAAACGTCGTGAGAATTTTATTGTTTTATATTTTTATTATTTTATTGTTTCCCTTCTACGTAACTTTACCGAAAGAACCAATAATGTAATATAACAGGCTTCTTGTGACCCTTCTGTGCGCTCCTCATGTGGCTTACTTGTTTTTTTTTGGTATTGTAGCGTTGTCCCTCTCGAACAAAGCTAAACAAAAAGACCTTGAACAAAGTCTCAATCTTAATCATCATTTATCAGTTCATGAAGGCCCACGAGGATTGATTACAGTATCTACTTTTCAAGTAAGACCTGTAGTGACAAATAGCTACTATCGATCTAGTTTGCTATTTATTGGACGGGCGAGTCCAAGTAATTGTGCTCATGGCATCTCGGATGACGATACCGTGACGCCGAAACCGACTCGTGAGAATAACTCGCACAATCCCCCTCGAATACTTTGAGCTCCAAATATCTCACCCCTGACAACGACGACAACCTCACAATGGGCACCCCCGTGACGTCCACCCCGTTATTTTCTCAGCCTATGAATAAAGAGACTTTTTTAATGCATTGGGCAGCCCCAGTCAAGCGCAGTCCCTATAGAGGTGCCATCTGTGCTCGCCGCGCCGACTGAATTCACGTGCGCGCTCGTTTAGAACAAAACGGGGCAGCTGCTCTCCGTGCAGAGATTCTCCCCCCCCCCCCCCCCCCCAATGCACCGCAGGGAGCAGAAGCCAACCCCAGGAGCCTCGCGTGATTGGCCATTCTTCTTCCATTCGCTGAACTTGAACTTCAAAGAAACGTTTAAAGTATTTGCAGCGGCGCAAAAATACGTCAATTCAAATCTCAAATTCCTCCACGTCATCTCCACCAACGTGGGAGATAAAATACGTGTTTATAAGAGATGATGGATAGTAATCACCACTCCAAACGGGTAGAATTACTGTGCATGTGAACCCGGAGCGCAGCCACCGTTCTGGGATTTCCCGAGTGGAGTCGTAGAGACGTTCTGAGGCTGCAAGGCTGATCCACTGTGCAGCTCTCGGGTGCAATTCTGACAGGGAGCCCACACTTGTAGATCTTGTTAATTAAATTTAACTTTTCACATTTTTCACTTGGATGTTTCCTTCAATTTACAGACGTTGCACCTGGGTTACGGGACGACAAATTAAATATGGCAGCACCCCATCACTTTGGGATTTTATTCAAATGCTTTTTCTATAATCAGTAGCTATTCTTTGAATTTGTAGTCAAAGTCCAAATGTATACAACCTAGGTTTGTCTCTAACTTATGTTGTATACCTGCTCTTTGGACCGTCTCTCTTAGTATTGCAAGTGAATCAATCATGACAAAATGACGCAGACACAAAAATCTGACGCAAATACGTAACAGCATAAGGAGAAACACGGGGAGACACGGAGACCCAGATAACTCAAATGTTGTGGGGACACCAGATAGGTGGACACATGGATGGCTGGACAGACAAGCAGATTCGCTGACATGCA